TCATCAGGAGAAATCTGGTGATAAAGTGTGAGGCCCTCTCGGTGTTACTGTTCGTGGTCCAGGTCTGGTCTTTGACCAGGAACAATGCCACTGCAATCACCAGAGAGGACTTCCAACTGATCTGGAGGTCCAAGATGGATCGTGTCCACAGAGACACGATGCACAAAACCCCAGAAAAGTGGGGAAAAGGATTCCCTAACGTAGCCCTGATCCTCTTGGCCAACTTTGAGTGTAGCTGCCTGAGGCTGTGGCTGGAGCCCGGCTACGCCAGCAACAAATGCCGCCACGTGCTGGGTTTCTCCCTGTACCCGGTGCTAAGAAGGATGGGTCTGGCAGAACTGCCTCCAAACGTTCCACATGGTTGGAGCGTGCCGAAGCAACTATCCTATGTTGAGAAATTCCTGAAGAAAACCATCCCAGACCCCCACTCAATCACCGAGTGGTCCGCAAAGCAGGTAGTCGAGACAGTTCAAAAGGGGGAGAAGGGCAGACCTGATCGGGAGGTACCCTGAGGCGACAGCCAGTTATGTCTGTCAATATGCCTCGACACCGTTCCTGACCAACAACCATCAGGACATGGCCTGGCTGGCAATACAAGGGGCCTCCCCCTCAGGGTTTTAATGCACGGTCAAGGTCTGGGCCACTCAGCACGCTGTCCTCTGTAAAGCAGGCCCTTTGCCATTCCCGAAACCAGATGTTATTCTGGCAGAACGAGGCTACGGTGAGGGCCTGCCTCAGGCTCGCCGACGCTAGGATCAGGGACTATATACTGAGGGACAAGCTGAAGTTCGGCTCAACCACGGCAATGGCCAGATGGGGCCTGACCCAGACAGGAGCCGCTTTGGCACAACCCGCTCAGGGCGCACCCACCGGGGAGCCCACAAGTGCACCCAAAACTGACTGAAGTAACGGTGCAGAGGACGCTTGAGATGTAACCAATGTCTGTACGGTAAACATGGGCGTGTATGGTGCACATTGGGGCGCCATCCAAAAGCAGCAAGTCACCTTATCAGGGTGTGTGCGGGCGCACACATGGATGTGGTGTACACAGGGGCGACTCCTGACTGTTTTAAAGGGAGCGTCCCAAAAAACGTGCGTACAACCTACACGCGGTAAAAGAATGTACCGTAAACAACGGGATGCTTTTTGTATTGGGAGAAAGGGAAAAATTGTAATAGAAGAGGTTTTATTTATTTTGGATGTCTGTTGTACTAAATATTTATAAATACATACATGCATACATACATACTTTCAAAAAATAACTCACTGTGTAGAGTACTCGCTGCCTCTATACCTGACAACTTTCCTCTTGGACCGTGCCTTCAGTCACTTCACCTCTCTTTCCAGTTCGGCATCAAAACACACCACTGTTAAATACTCCAAGACCCTACCCACTTGAAGGGAGCTGTATAAATGTGAGTCGTTGTTGTCTAGTAGTCACCTACACTGGATATTCTGGGTCCTTCTAAAATCCAGAGCACTTCTCTATGTCTACGCACGTACATTTGAGCAAATGTACGTGTGCAATGCAGTCTGAGTTCAGCATGAAGCTGAATTATTCAATACATTTCAAGCGTGCTATAAGAAGATTAAAGAGTCTCTTTCTCTACTTTGATTCTGGTATTAACATTTTGTAACACATGAGGTCATTACAGCATTTTTATGTTTTGAATTACTCCTCGTTGGAAGCAGGTCTATTTGTATGGAATTTATCCTGGATGGATCGTGCTCACAATTTCATTTTGGGAAGGAAAGGTCTAAAATGAAAGACAAAATGAAATTATTCAGGACCTATTACAAAGTGAATACGACACTGTGGATGATTAGAATCTGCAGAACCACGAATGCATTATTTAGTCCACAATATATAATAATAATAAATAATAATCCTTGATTTGATATAGCAATTTTCACATCTTTTAGACGTCTCAAAGCCCTTCACAGTATATACTGAAAAGTGAATTGATTGTATATTTGTGAGAGTTATTTGTTGCAGTTATAACATTGCAACAATCAGTTCATAGCCATTCAAACAAGGTAATGGCCATTCAGTAAAGACTGTTAACGTTCAATTTAACTCTGTCCTTGATCCAATGGTTTAAATAAACCTTCTGTACATTAACACACTGCATTTCCTTTTGTATCTTCCCTTGGGACGTCCTCCTGACGTGAAAGGCGCTTTATAAATGGAATCTTGTTGTTGTTGTTGTCTTTCATTCAGTTTCTTCTCCTAATACAGGTTACCACAAGACAGAAGCATTTAATATTAATAACCCTTAACAATCTTGCATTTGGATAGCACCTTTCATGTCAGGAGTTGTTAAAGTGTTTCACAGGAATTACTGGAAAGTGTAGCGACTGTGTATCTTGAACGAAACAGCCAATTTGCATACTATGATGTCCCACAAAAAGAAACATTTCCAAAGAATAGGAAACAAGCCAGTATCTGAGCAGTGGCTTGCATATAATCGGACAATAAACCAACTCTTGATAATTTTTGCTTTACACAACTTTACCTTCCTTTTGGAAACTTCTTGGTCAGATATCTTTCCTGTGATATTCCAACACATAGGATTACCTTTCTCATGGGAAACGTCTACTATCTCTGATTTTTCACAATGATTTCCTCGAGATTAGATTTCAACAATGTTAATGAATTTAGGGTCCTATCCAGTGACATCTTAAAGAAAATTAGCTCGTAAGCTTTGCTCTTATCTCATTTTTCACCAATAACATGTTTTCAAGGGCTTTTAAGATTAAACCAACCTTTCTTCTGCTCCATTTGATGATGGATAAACATTGATCTTGGTATATTTCCTTCAACAGTTTTATATTTATATAATGCCTTTCCCATCAGGACAGTCGTGCTCAAAGCGCTTCACAGAGACGACTGGGAGACCAAGCTGGGAGTGGGAAGATCACCAAAAATGCAGTCGAAAAGGAAAGGTCCTAAGGTTTGGCTTTCAGGATGGGGAAAGGCAGAGGGACTCTGGGATGGAGTACCAGAGAGCAGGGCAGAATGGCTTGCACACCAGTGGTGAGGTAACATGAAGCAGGTCAGTGTTCATTAAGTGAAGGGAGAGTGGTAGGGATGCAGGAGGTCTGAGAGATGGGATGGGGCAAGGCCATGGAGGCATTTGAAGTGAATACAATTCCATTTCTTGAAGTACTCAAACAAAATAGTCATGAATTGTTGTCCATTATTGGAAACAACCATAACCTGCAAATACATGAACATCAGCTATGGAATAAGAAGAATTGGTTCACCTGATATAATTTACTACAAGCCATTTGGAATTATTATCATTGCCCAAAGAAAGAGGCTGATTGGTTTTCCTCGGCAAGACACACCAGTACTTTGTCAGATTTTTGTAAGTGATTTTCAAATGTAAAGAGGTGCTAAAAGATGACAAATATTTTTCAAAAGTACACACGGCTAAGTTTTCCTCAAAATTATTTTCCTAAACTTGCCAGCCTTCATTTTACATTCATCATTTAAATAGTTAGACAATTGTTCATTAAACATGGATTCTATCGCTAACCTGATCCTCTGAGAATATGTCCTTGATCTGTGGATAACTAATTTTTCAAACGATATGGAGACAAAGAATTTATCAGTAGCATTTAGTAAGCCAGCAAATATTAAGTCCACTACTTTCGCAAGAATAACATCTTTCAAAGTAGTTTTAGCCACCTCCTGACTTAGTGGATCATTTTTCCTAAAATTCTGGCTTCCATGTCACCTGAATCTTGCCAAAGTTGATGAAATATCGGCATCCCCATGATCTTTCTTATATTTATTTTGGTACATATCGTCTGAATCCACCCCAGGTGCTGTGCAATGGCTGAATCACTAAATCGTCTGATCTGTGCCCTTCAGAGGCAATTACAATCTCTTACCCAATTCGACACTTTTCTCACTTTTATCCTACTTATGCAATCTTCTCCAGCTCTATATTTCAGCCTTTACCTCCTGTTCTCCTGCCTTTGGTCCATTGCTTCTTCCCCACTCTCCTGCTCATCAGCAGCGGATTTTTCAGCTATCATGCGTAGGTTTAACAGTTACTATTTCATAGCTGAAAGACACAACTTAATAATTCTCAATGTATTATGGTCTGCCGATACTCACGGTCAGTCTCACACAGGAAGAATGTTTATTTTGAATAGATATTGGAATTCTGGCATCTGTTCTGTTTCAGTATGAGTCACCATCGTCAGAGAGATGAATTAGAAAATCAAAGCAGATAAAAGTGTCACTTGAAGGTCTTCTACCACCAGTTCAGTAACTGCAGTTTTCAAGATGGGAAAATATTTTGCAGTTTATTGAACCATTCAAACACACCAACACCTAACATGCAATGTATTTTCTCCATCTGGGAAAACTGCAAATGTCCTGATAATGTATAGCATGTACTGTTTTCTATTGTAGAATTTTATAGAAGGTTGGAAGGTAGAAAACCACTTATATAAAAGATTTAAATTATTCAAATGGTTTGACAGCTGTTTCACCAAGGCAAGGTTGTTTTCTGATGAACTGTTAAACCAGAATGAGGGACCGAGATATGCGCTGATGTGTTGAATCAGAGTCAGGCTCCGCCACTGTTAAGCGCTCTGAGATGCTACCCTGCGTGAAGGGAGCTATATAAGTGCAAGTTGTTGTTATTGTTAAACGGTTTGAGCCAGCTCATCTGAGGTACCCAAGATTGGACACTGCCAGTTGATATTTTTCTTCCGCTGAGTGTCTGGGGTTTTCACGGTGACCAATGAGACAAAACTTTCGGGCTCATCATACGTTTGGCAAAAAAAATGCTGCCAACAAATACTCTGAATAAAGCTGCATGGTGATTTTGTCAAACTAATGTAGCTTCAGTAAATGTGAGTGGCTTTATATAATGAAGCAAGTTGACTAAATTTTGTTCCAGAATAATAAATTCCCTGCTATATAGATGTGTGGTAAATCTCTCTAAATATGCTCAGAAGTTTGATGAAGGAACAACAGCTTCTCAGTTATATTTATTTCCAGCTCTGTATAAACTGGATGTAGAGGCATAAACATAGTACATTTCTACCATTTTCAACAAAAATATAACCATTATGTACAATTATTGTATTAAAAATACAAAAGGGATACAGACTCCACCAATTGTCTTTCTAAAAGACATACAGGTACAAGTAGTATCAAAAGTATGAGGAAATCACCAGTTAATCATACATTTTGCACATAACATCACAGATTTGCTGAAATGAGATTAGCAGTTCTATGTTCTACGATTACAGTTAGGCTTATATCATTTGTGCAACTCTTCAATATAACTGATTTTTTTTGCCTGCCTATATGCACACAATGTCATTTACTGTATACTGAAACTGGCAAATTATGCATAATACAGTTAAATTACTAATGCATAACTGACAGACAACATGAAATATCTGCAAATATAAAGGAGGGGATGAACAATGATTATTTACGATATAGTTAAATAAAGCACTGATGTTTTTAAATACAGTGAATACACTGCAATTTTCAGTTGAAACTAAGTTTATTTACTGATCAATATGATCAGCTGAGCTCAATTGGAAACAAATTAAAAATAATAATCAAGAAGAGCAGTTCCTCACATTTGAGGACTACTCAGATAGGCAGCCTTCACTATTGGGAGTCTGCTGAATGGCAATGGAAATGCTATTGCCAATTTAGTAATCTGAAAGTGTAAGTAGCAGCAGAGTGCGGTTTGCTTTGAATGTTTCAGCCTTCATTACAGACATGCAGTGATATTCCTAGTAGCACGAAATAGTTAACAGTTAATGTCTTTGTACCTACTGCAGATTACAAAGGCTGGAACATGTAATAAAGTAATAAAAAAAATAAGGCTCTATCTTTTGAAGCCTTGGTGGCCCTTTGTCAAGTAAGAGGACATAACTTTCAACAAAGGGAAGTAGCCAGCGAAAGTCTGGGATCCAGAGCTGCCATCCACTGCAATGTCATCCAGTTTGATTATTTAAAATACTAATTTATAAATCTAAAATCAAAAAATATAAGTTATGTGTAAAATAATACTGTAATTAAGGAGATGTAACAGTTGTTGCTCTCTAAAGCAGTATTTAACCCAACAAAAAATCAATGCAAGGTGAAAAATCACTGAGAGCCTGGTGCCTATAGGTATGGTGTACAATATAACATGTTCCATAATTAAGTGAATTGACATGATTTGGCGTTTTTTTTAATAGAAAAAACGACTTCACTTTTTTTGCTTTTAATTGGTTGTATGCCAGAATGATGAAAAGTCTAGCACGGGGATTTAAAAGATTCTAGGTTGATTTAAAGAATGCACCAAAAGCAGTTCATGGTGAACACGGCAAACTTGAATTTTGAGCGTAGTCCATGATGGATTGTAACAGTTGTCGTCTGTAGAATCAGCTCTGTGCATTTAAAGCGACACAGTTCCAAAGTGCCAGGACATTTTCTTCACAGTATTCCACATGCGGGGGGTAAAAGCCCCATGCTGCTTTAAGGCAGGGAAGGAGGCAAGTGGCATCAGGAATTTCATTCAAGAGTTTCAAGGCTCCTACATCTGGATGATCTGTTGTGCTGTCCGAAATGTAGCTTGCAGCATCGTGAAGCAACAAAAAAAGTGGGAAGTGCGCTCTGGTCAGACTGCAGAAACTTGCTCATCTTCTGCTGGGAAAAACAAATTGAATTTTACATTAGAAACTGGGTAAAGATATCGGAAGTAGTTAAACTTGAACAGTAGCTGGGATCCAAAGTAAATTGGTCCATTTACATCATATATAATGTTGAGGAAGCTGAGACAGACTCAATGGGCTGAATGGCCTTCTTCTGTGCTGCAAATTCTATGGTTCTATGATTGATGCACTGTAGACTTCATGCTGTGATTTCCTGACGCATGATGGCCAACTCGCAGCAGCACATGCAGTAAAATAACTTTTATAGAAGCCAGTGAACAGGTGGTCTATCTATAATTTAGTTATATGAATGCTTTAGATAGATCAAGCCAACATTACACATTACATTTGCTAACACCCCTGAGAGCAGTTATAATTTTGGTTAGATGGTTAATTGCATCACACTGTTGTAAAGGAAATATATAAAGTTTGAATGTCTATTTTGTAGTTTATTGCTTTTTGAATGGAAGCATTCTCCATTTCCCTATTGTTGTAAGGTCAGGTAATCTATGTGAAAGACAAGCCTTCAAAGATACAATATTTTTAACACTAGATACTCTCCCAACCCCTTTCCCACAAGAGGTGCGGGAGGATGTCCAGATGTCACTATCCTTCCTGATATTATTTTCCTTCCTGATATTATTTTCCTATTACTTGAATAGCTGAAACTATAACTGTAGCAAAATCCATCTAATATTAGCAAGTTTGGAAAAGGACCAGAGACAAGGACCTCCCTGCCCGTTACGGCTTTGTCTTCAAGGGTTAATGTGAGAGGAGTGGGAAGAGTTCCTGTCCCCAGTAACTGGTCCATCCCTCCAAGTCCTGCCAATGAGCCAGGCTGGCTAGGCTGTCATTAGCAATCGCCTGGAGTGGTACAGCTGATGAATCAATGATCAACGAATAAGGAAAGTGGCCCTTATTTGAATATAATTAAGAACCTCCTGATCTAGATGGTCAGCATGGCCAAGTCACCTAAATTTGCATTTCTGTGACTCAAATGGTGAAGGGTAGCCTCTCTTGTGGGTTAGGGGGATGTAATGAGATTTTTGGTCTCAGCTGAATATTTAACACATGTGGAAATGTCTTGTGTCTGGAATGGAGTATGCAGTCTCTTCAGCAAAGAACATATCAATTGGTCATTTTCAATCTACGACTGTTTGTGGGACATTGCTGTGTGCAATTGGCTGCCGCGTTTGCCCACAAATTAGTCAATTCACTTTACAGTGTGTTCTGTGAAACGCTTTGGGACGTCCTCCCGACGTGAACAGCGCTATATCAAATGCAAGGATTATTATTATCTTCTGCTCACCTAATTCCAGAAATTAATAGGTGCAGTTTGGCAAGAGCCAAGGCTAGGGGTCCCCAGAGTTGTGTGTTGGGTACTTCTGGAATTAACTAATTAAAATTGCATAGTTTGTGACTGAGAGGACCATCTGGCAAGATTCCTGCTGTTTGTCCAGCTAGGTCCACCCTACTCCTTAGGGTTGTGGGCTATTCATTAACAATATCCAATTGGGAAGAATCTCTGCACCAGTCTACTGCTCTAAGTTCTGCCAATGAGACAGGTTGACTGATCTGGCACTAGCAGTGCCTTGGAAGCAGAGCGGCGCCTCCTGGCTCAGGAACTGGAATACCGAGACTGCCAAACAGAACTGACTCGATTTGGACATTCTGTTGAAAGAAACCTTGGAGCCAAAGAGACCCTGCTTACTCCTCTCCCCCACCCCCTCCCAAACTAAGGTGGATGTCAATCATCCTATAGCATTATTTTGAAGAAGTTAAGGGTATTCTCGTAGTAAATATTTCACAACAATCAAATTCACCCGAAAATAAAAGATTTGGTGAATTATCTTATTGCTATTTCTGAGGCTCTCTTGGTACAGATTGCTTATGTATTCACCTACATGATGAAGAACCTCATTGAGTCAGGTGCTTGGAAACATTTCAATGAGATAAACTAAGTATTATATATTAATAAAGCACGTTTGTTGCACTTTTTACATTTTCATTTTTGCATTTCCACAGCTTCTGGTCTTGGCGATTTGGACTATGAATTTCAGTCTTGGATGCATTTTGTTCTCATTCCTTATTCATCATTCAATTCCTATTGACTAATGAAATCTTGTCTGAGCTCATCCAGTTGGTAACTGCCCAACATCCGATCTAACTTAGAAGCTACATCAAAACCCATCATAGCTACGACACGCTACCTTTTATCCGTTCAATGCACAAATCTGAGTCATTCCGCATTTAATTCTTAACTACTTCAGGCACATGTTTTAGCATGAAAAGATATAAATGATGGGTGTGTTGTATTTAGCACTCAAGTTGTTAATAATCCTTGCATTTGATATAGCATATCATATTGTCAAGACATCTCAAAGCATTTCAAAGGATATATGTTTCGCCCACAAATAATGGTCAATTCACTTTACAATATATTCTGTGAAGCTCTTTGAGACTTCTCAAACACGTGTTAAGGCGCTATATCAAATGCAAGGATTATTATTATTATACTGTCGAGTGACTCTGTGTTTTGTGGGTGAACACAGCAGCCAATTTGCGCCCAGCAATATCCCACAAACTGCCATTTTGTGGGTGACCAATATTTATTTTGTGGGATTGCTGGCTAGGACTCCAGAATAAACTCCTTTCTCTTCAAATAATGCCATGGGGTCTTTAGCAGCCACCTGGACAGGCAGGCAGACCTCAGTTTAAAGTCTCATCCGATGGACAGCACTTCCGACAATGCAGCATTGCAATGTAGTGTCAGCATATAGACGATATGGGTTCCAAGACCCTCAGAAGTAAGTGACCTAAGTCAGGCTGACACATTAAGCAATAATTCTACAATCTCATCATTTGTCTTTCTAAAGAGCATATTCCGTAACAACTTGCAATTAAATTGCATATTAGAGCACTTTTACAAAGATGGGCGCAGACTCTAAGCAAGTGGGGGCCTAGGGGAGGAAGAGGGAGGAGGGAGGCACAGTCAGAGGTAAATTTTTAGACAGGATTTTCAGACAAATAGAGAGCAGTGAGACGGGGTTAAAAAGAGGGAGTTCCTGAGGTAAGGGTCACAGTATCTGAAGACTCAATTACCAATGATGGACACGCCAGGCCCAGGTTAACTGAAGAAAGGGAGCACAATGGGATAGGAGAAGATCAGTCAGTGAGGTGCTAGGGCATGAGGGATTGTTAGAGTGAAGATCTTGAAACATAGGGAGACCGTGGAGCTTGGTGAGGCCTGGGGTGATAGGCAGATTTAGAGCAGGTGAGAATATGGGCGTGGAGTTTATATCAGCTGGAGTTTATGGATAGCAGAATAGGGAGACTGTCAAAGAGTGCATAGAAAAGTCTACACTTCAATGCAGACAACTACCTTATGTAATGAATGTACATATTCTGATGCTAAAGCAACTACAAGTGATGTATATAATTCATTTATATGCCATATGCCATAGGCATTGTTGCTGAGCAGATTTTGTAGAAAGGAATATCAAAGGTTGTTTGAGACAACTATTGCATTCGTCTTCAGAACAATAAAATCCACATGAAACTACAAACATAAAACAGTCGAGGCATAATCAGGTGGGGCTCAGTCATTCTCCCCAGGCTATAAACAGACTTTCTCTTCTTTCTCTGCCTTGCCCCCACCTGCTTATGGAAACAAATTATTTTGAGGCACAAATTACCATGGGAGACATTTTTGACACATACTGTATGTGGTTAGCAAAGATTCAGAGACCGTTATGAGCAGAAGCTCCCTAACCTGTCAGAGAAACAGATGTTTCAGATATAAATCCACTGGAGAACTATATATAGAGCCTAGGACGCATTAGCAGAACTCAAGGTGGGGGGAAAGAGAGGGGAAACAGAACTAACCTTACCTTTATCACATTTATTGCAAGGAATATTATATAAGCTTTTTTAGAATAATTGATTGCATGAGAAAATTCACACTTTTATCAGTGTGTTTTAAAATTTTAACACCCGTATGCTTATTGAGCAATACAAAAAGGCTGCTGCTACTGCCTAATTTATACTGCAGGTAGCATTGTCGCATTGCCTCTAGCAGTAGAATGATTTCGAGCAGGAAGCCTCAATTACACTCATTTATTTCCAATCCCTTTTGCAGAGGACTGATATGAGCTCTGAACATGTACACTTTTCACTGTTGCCATACAACAGATAGCTTTTAATTTCATTGCAGAGCTGGGAGTTCAGCTGGCTCTCTAATAACATTAACAATAGCTAGTTGAAAACTGTAATTTACATTTATATAGTGCCTTTAACATCAAGAAGGCATCTTAAAATGCTTCCCATAGCTGACCTAGAGCCTCCATACACATGCACAAACATAGACAGACAGGTTCAGAGACAGACAGCATACACAGGCTTCCAGCTCCAAGTCATTGTGCTGCTAGAGACGGAGTACACAGGCAGGCGGCAGAAAGTCTTGGAAAACACACACGTACGTGTGCAGTACATTTGCACTACCTGCATGTATGCTGGTGCAAACCTCTGTTGGCAAAACCATCTCCTAAAGAAGTCCTCAAGCTAGGCTCTAATGTAACTCACTTTGCAAACATGTATAACAAAAACAATTTATAATGTACTATTCCACCCTGTAGACACAAATTCCATAATATGAATTGAAGCTCTGAAACAAAATACATAAAAGCTGAATTTCTGGTTTTCATTCCATGCATCACTTCAATTAGGTCACCTCCAGCCAAATTGGGGAAGTAACTTTCATCCCTTCAGTCCAGTATTCATCACTAGAAGATATTTCAGCAAAGAGTTGTTATAACATGGAATGCTTCATAATTAGTACATATTGAGGCTGAGAACATTGGAAAGGGAAACTGAAACATCTGAAGGGAAACAAGATAAAAACGGTATAGGATGAGGGTAGAAAATTGTGAATTAGGATTATAATATTACTTGCATTTGATAATAGTGCCTTACCATGTTGTTGAGACATCTCAAAGTGTTTCACAGGCTATACTGTAAAGTGGAATGCCTGTGTATTTTATGGGCAAAACAAGGCAGCCAGTTTTGCGTACAGCAATGTCTCACAGCCATAGATTGGGTGACCTTTTTTTATTTGTGGAATTCTTGGCTAGGACACCGTGAGAAACTCCCTTCGTTTTTTCAATAGTGCCCTGCGATATTAAACAGCCATGTGAACAGGTAGAGAGGACCTCAGTTTAACTTCTCATCCGAGGCGTGGCCCTCTGACAATGCAGGACCCCTAGCGCTGCCTTGCAGGGTCATCTTAGACTATGTGATTCTAAGTCTAGATGTAGGGCTTGAACCCACAACCTTCTGACTCAAGAGGCGAGAGTGCTACCACTGAGCCATATTGACACACTAGGGTAAATAGTTCTAACAGGAACTATTAAGCAAAGACTTGATGAACAAAATAAAATCCCTCAGTTTGTAGTCTCGATAATTCTATATGTTCTTTGCAGGCAGTGTGTACTATCAATCGCCTTCAAGTCTATTACTGATCTTCTCTTTACCTATGAGATCAGCACTTCTGCAGCATGGGGTAGATACAAATAATTCGACAGACATGGTCCGTTGTCTTCTGTTAAAATTATTCTCCTGGTTATCTTCATTGCTCCCAGTTAATTTTTTTTTCATTTTCAGCTTGTTTCTTGGTTTCTTCCTTTCTTTGGATTTAATTAGATTCTTTGGTTTATTCTATGTTATTCTAATGCCCTCACGCTATCTTTCTGCCTTGATGAATTCTGTCATTTTAGATTTTCCTCACCTCTATTTTGTTAGAAATCTTTTAAGCTAACTTCCAATGACCATCCCACAATTAAGAATGGTTACAGCCATTAGATGCCTCCTACATTCATTCCTGCAGGTCAAATAATAGAATGACGGGTGTAGAGTTCTACACCACTCAACTTCTGCAACATTTATCTCAGAAGAGGTTTACCTGCCGATGGAAGGCCAGTAAACTCCTGCCATAAACTGTAATATTACTCATCACTTGGGTCCGGGAGTGCTGGACCAATTCTATCTTGATGGCAGGAGTAGATGTGCAACCAAACCATCTCAAATAGTGATACAACTATTGGAAGTCTAACTATATCCTTGGAATTATTCCTTTTTCCTGTGCTTTCCCTCTATCATTTCCTAAATTATTTGCCTCTTATTACCTTTTTGTTCTTTGCTTTCTGATTTCCACGTCAGGTTCTTTTTTAAATTTGATATGTTTCTTTTTTTTTTCTGTTCCTGGCGCCATGAAGCAGAGGAGGGAAAGAGAGAGAGCAATTACATACAAGGAAATTAAGGGCAACAAAGAAACACCGCACCACCCACAGACATATAAAGGAAATAACATAGAACAGCCAGAGGAGAGAGATGGTGTATAGCAATGGTTTTCAAGCTGTGGGGCAGGCCACCCTTGAGGGGGCACAAAGACATTATCAGGGGGCCTGTTAGGGTCATCATCTGGTTGTTTTTTAACTGGCCTGGCCGGATTTTGTACTTCCTTTCCAGTTGCTGGCTTTTTCGTGTGAGTGAGCGCAGGCGCACACTCGGCACTGAGAAACAAGGTGAGAGCGCAGGCATAGGGCTACAGCGTGACGTAAAGCTGGGAGAGCACAGTAACGTGCACGCTTAGCTTTGTGGCAGGAAGGTCTTTGGTTAAAAGGTAAGTTAATGTTTGAAATTTCCTTCCTCCATGTACCCCTATTCAGTATTACTTTTAATAGGCCATTATAGGGACCATTTGGGAGTTTTTTCTTCTTTCACTGTATAAGTATTTGTTAGTTTCTCTCTGCTTGGAGAGCGAATGCAAGAAAGTTAGAGCGGGAGATAAGCATATTTTTATGTATTGGTAAGTATTTTATTATTATATTACCTTTTTTATTATTAAATATGAGCTGCTTTTTATGGTAAAGAGAGTTTTATAAAAAATGTAGTAGGCCAACTACAGAGGTATATGAAATGCATTAAGTTTATTCAGTAGTAGTCTAGTGGTACTGTGCTACTTATGTCACTCTTTCTGTCTTAAACAATGTAATATCAACTGAGCAAATAAAATCCTCTTGCTCTATACAAAAATACTATTTCTTAGAAAGATCTGCACGGGACATGAATCTCCGAAAAGAGGTGAAGGGCAAAAACAGTTTGGGGGCCTCTGGTGTTAAGCCTGCTAATTTCAGCAATGCATATTAGAGGCACATAAGTGTAGCTGGGACTTCTATTGTCTCGTGTTAAGAAATTTCTTGGTAAAGATTTCTAAGTTAGGAAAGCACACATTTCAAGAATGCACCAAATAACAAGAAACATGGGAAGGGCATTAGATAGCAAGAGTTGAGACAGATTGTAAGACAGCAAATAAGCAGGATAGAGACAGAGAGCGAGAAATATAAAGAGGATACAAGCATACCAGAGACAATAAAGCAGACCAAGCAGTAATTGTGCTCCAGCATGACACAGGTGATGCTAGGATGAGACAGGACGTAAAGGGTATACATTGCAAAGCAGTCTCATTTGTCTAGAGATTATCATTCTCAATTTACGGATCTCACTGTTGGAAGTAATGTTCATTTCTTATTTCACTCAGCTCCATGTGCCGGATTTTATTTGAATCTAGCCTGCTCAATGTAAATAAAATCCTCTTCGTTTTAGAACCAGCCATATATTTACTGTTTATGGCTGTCTTGGTTTCTTTCGTTCGACCTCATATTTACTTTGAGACACATCCCTGTTCTTAATGACATTGTGTAATTTGTAGCAAGAGAAAACAATGTTACATAGGAAAATGTATATTTGCATAAAATGAGTGTTACAGCATTCAGTTATTCGATAAGTACATAAACATGTCCTCTTGGTTTCGGCTTGTAGGTGATTTTTTCAAAGGAGGAGACAAATACAAAGAAATCTCAATGTCACCAACCTTCCTTTGTAACATTGAAACAACTAATCACATCCATTGCATACCATCCATTAAAATACTTTAACACTAGCCCAAAATATGCTCACATAGCACATCATTTCAATTGAGTTTTTTATTTCGCTGCCCATTAACCTCTGTAACCTTGGACCATCTTAGACTGTGATTCATTTGATAAAAAAACTGTACTCATATCAGCACTGTGTTAAACAAAGACACGGGCTCCCCAAAGGCTTAGCAGATAAACAACCATGCAATGGATAAAACAAGCAGCCAAGTTAAATCTCTGTTTTATGCTGAATTAGCCAAGATGAAGGTGGGGTGCCATGGCTGGTCTCAACAAGAAACGGTAAGTGAGAAAAAGCAAATTGGACTTGACTGTGATAGTTCCCTAAGGTGAATACTCTATTAACACTCACTGGCTTGGATCACACAAGACCATTCAAACTAGGTATTGGAAACCTGTCAATGCCTGAGGAGTGTTTCCCCAGCATGAGTCACTGCCTTCAACAGGGCAGAAATTAGAGGGAAAGTGGAGGAGGGATCATCTCAACATACCAGCTCCTGGAACGGGCTAGAATATGGGGATAAAGAGGTGACTCAACCTGAAGAGAAATGGCACTGAAAAGTTAAACTGTAATATTTTAAAGTTGAAGGTTGAATTCAAGATTGAACTGGTTCAAAAAGGTTAAGCTATTATATAGTATTAATGTCAAAGTCAGCTATTTGTAAGCTTTCTGTCTGCCACTGCTGTAAAGGGATTTTCCTCAAATCACAGTATGTCACCAGGATGGACACTGGCCACTCTCAGCTTAAGCAGAATAATGGTAGACATTTTTCATCTGATGTACAACATAAAATTCCTCAAAGGAGAGTAGAACTAAAGAACTCACATACATATTTTACACAAGCCCACCAATAAAGTGGAGAGCTTTAAAAAATATATTCCTCTTTAATCAGGTAAAAAAGAAAAGTTCAGTCTTAAATTTTGTAAAACACACATTGAGTTACAACTGAGAAGCTGCATATGATGCTGTAATATACTCTCTGAAGGGGCTTTCTGAATTTATAGACGATAGAAATAAAATTCCCTTCTTTCATTTTCTTCTGAAAACATAATCAGAAGTTCAGATAACAAGTAAAAACTGCTTCAGCTTATCAACTTCTTCATTGAAGAATCATCCCTTGCCATCTAATGTATTATTCTACAGGATTCTACATTATGAGTTTCTGTAAAGTACTCCAAAAGTACCACTGTCATTAAAAAATAAATATAAAATCATTTTACAATTATATTCTGGAATATTTTCTGCTCACTCGGATTCTACAGAATATATCCATATTAGCCGGTGCATTCAATAATATAGCTGACCAAAATAATCACTTAAAGCTTACCATCTTCATCTTCAGATGGGAAACCCTGAGACTGCAGGTGAGCTAGTCTGGGGTCAGATTCATTTGGCTTGTGCCACTGAGGTCGGCTAAGAGGCCTGACCTGCGAGTGACTGATCGAATGTGGAGCTGCACTTTGAACAGTTGAGGGTCCAAGGGAATCACTTGGTCTTCCCACCAACCGTGACCTTTGTAGTGCCACATTATAGTCCGGAGGCTTCATGCCTGGATGTCGATGGCCTTCCTGGAAATCTGCAATGGGAATTCCAACATACCCAGGAGGCGTTGGAGGTGGCTCTCGATATCTGCCCTCTTTTCGTGCTGCAGTAACACAATACACTACCATAAGAGACAATCGATTAACACAATGTACAAAAATACAGAAACTGAAAATAGATCCTTGGAATGGCACAAGTTTGAAGTTTGCTGACAGCAATATGATTTGTGAAGTTTAGGAAAGATATTTAAAAGGAGAAAAGCAATTTCTACAGTGATACAATCTTGAAGCAAAGTGTCAAACAGCAAAAGCATCTTTTGATGGAGGGTACAAAGGTGGAATATCTGAAAATAGCAAAGAAGGTTCAGCCTCAGTATGATTCAAAATAAGGCCAGGAGTTGGCATGCAATAAGGTTGAAGAAGCAGAAAGGATACTTATAGAATTTCAAAGCTCACTAAAACTGAATAGGATAAGAATGGCCCTGGGATTTTCTTACAGCCCCATTTAGAATATTCTCTATCCTTTTTCTTCAAAGATATTTTACTAAGTCACTAGAAGCATATTTCCTGCATTAAATTTCATTTACTGAATCTATTTATGTAGACCCAGTCAATGGAATGCAAATATGAGACCTTCAACTCTAGTTTAAAATGACACAAATTAAAGTAACATTAAATCGGACATATAAATATATAAATGATTTTATTATTATTAATAATAATCCTATTTTATCTACCTTGTGCCCCGGCAGGTTAATGCATTGCTATGCTACTTGACTGACTGAAAGGATACGAGTTCCCTTCATTTTACAAAGCAATTTCACCCTTCCAGTTCTACGGAACATAATGGATGTTTATCTGCCTCATAACGTGGAACTGATAAATTACGGTGAAAAGAAAATTCCATGCTAGAATTTACAATGAATTAAGTCCTTGCTGCTTTATTTTATAGGTGTCAAAACTATATCATTCCAAAAACGATTTTGAACAATAAAAATACACAGAGGATTTTGATGGGTAAATACAAATTTGGGTGGGACCACAAACAATGCTTGATATCTCCTTGAAGAGGTACCAAACAAGAAAGCATGGAGTCACCTGCTTCCAGTCATACAACATTGGAAGGAGGGACTTCAATGCACAGTGAAGGGAACGATAATGACTTGAAGCACTAATTGTCTGCCTTGGAGACTTTGGGTAAAAAGTCTTTGGAGTGCGCCTTTGACAATGCTACCATTTGGTTTCCATTATAATTTTGCAGAGCTTTTTGCCCAGTGCACAACCCACTATGAACTTTATACCCTCTTATATTCTTATCCAGGACATAAGGCAGAGTTGGAACATTTCTCAAATAGAAGTTGAACCCAGGGTTGGTTACAGCCTTTTTGGAGAACAGAGCAACCATAATGAAGTGATTCAGAAATATCATGAAAGCCCATAATTCACACATCAGCATTACATCTAGACCAGTTGGTTTGCAGCATTTCACAAGTGTTCCTCCTTCAACTAAAAGAGCACTCTGTTGGATACCTTCAGGCCAAGGTCAAATGCTGGTATACAAAATAAACATGCTCAGCACTGAAACTGCACATGTAAATATATTTGGATTTGCACAAATAACTGAAGGCTATTATTTTCTATTTGCGAAAGTAACAAAAGATTAGTCTTAAATTAAAATATGTAAATTACAGCAAATTTGAAGCAAATATTAAGACTAATAAATAATAATGATCCTTACATCCGGTATATTGCCTTTCACGTTGGGAGGACACCCCTAAGCCTTCACAGGGTGTACTGTAAAGTGTAGTGACTGTGTTTGGTGGGCGAATGCTAACACAAGTACTCAACTGTCTAAATCGCCACCACCCAAAAACAAAGCCTGTCCATTGGGTTGTCATTTATAGAATTGCTGAATAAGATCATGACAGACAGATCTGTTGTCTGGGTCTCAGTGGGTGTTGCTGCCTAGTGACCTTGCTCCACCTTGACCTGATTCTGCTACTCCTCCAGATCCACGGCAAGGTCACCAGTTGCAAGATTATGCAACAAAATATCAGCTGTTTTATTTATGGATGCCCCCTCCCTTGACTGATTGATTCTCTTGTTTGAGATATCCAACACTTTTTGTATTAGGCTTCATGCATGATTCCAGGATAAATTACTTGGGATATGAGAATATGGGAAATGTTCAAAGGGAAAAATGAGCTAGATATAATGGATTTACTACTTCATCTACACCTGCCCAGAAACAAACAGTACCTTGATTTCCGCTATACAAACCGACCAGTGAGCAATGCAGTGCACTGTTGCCTTTATGGTCCCAGCTCGTCTGAATATTTAGTGTTGGTTCACTCATAGCTGAAATATGCTATTGAAATATGTAGGTGCGCAAATCATTAAGGGCAGTATATTATCTCCTAGATTTTAGAAAGGTTGTAGAGCAGTAAAAGTGGTGCTTTTACATTCTATTCAGATGAGTTTATCAAGGTGCTTTTCTCCAGTTTTTCTTGATCTGTTACACAACAAACTGACTCCAGCAACAGTCCTCAAGGACACCTAATAGATACTTGTGACAACCAACATTAGGGCATTGGTAAATTTACCTACTACTGAGTGTAGTGTTTTGTAAGAACCTAGGTGTCTTGTTTGACTCTCAACTGTCTTTTCTCCCCCACATTTAAGTCATGACCCGCTCTGCCTTCCCTCACCTCCGTAACATCGCCCGACTACCCCACTACCTGACCCCTCAGGCCACTGAAACTCTTGTTCATGCCTTCATCACCTCCAGGCTCGACTATGCAAATGTCCTGCTTGTCAGCCTTCCCAACTCCTTCCTCCACAGTCTGCAGATAATCCAGAACTCTGCAGCTCGTGTCCTCTCCCGCACCAAATTCCTTGACACCATCTCCCCCACTCTCGCCCGACTCCATTGGCTCCCTATCCTTCAGAGGATCCAGTTCAAGATCCTGGTCCTCACCTACAAAGCCCTCCATGGCCTCCCTTCACCCTACCTCTGTGACCTCCTAACCCCCTACCAACCCGCCCGTTCCCTCCACTCAGCCGGCTCTGGCCTGCTCCACGTCCCCCGACCCACCCGCCCCACCATTGGCGGGCGCGCCTTCAGTCACTCTGCCCCCATCCTCTGGAATTCTATCCCCCAGTCACTCCGCCTCGCCCCCTCCTTAATCTCCTTCAAGTCCCGCCTCAAGACCCTCCTCTTCGACTATGCCGTCAGCCAACCACCCCCTTCTCTTTCACCACATGTAATAAGACAACAATGTCTGGTGCATCCATCATCTCCAACACAAAGTATGCTCTATGTCATCCTGCTGTATCATATGGTTGAAACTCCCTCCCAAAACATTGCCTTCCTTCACTTCAATATCATCATGTTTGATTTGGTATTGTAAAAATGCCATTAATAAGAATGATAACAATGACAGCAAGCCACAGATCCTGTCTGGTAGAACCGGTAAATTGTAGGGCTTTTGCTCACGGAGTTGGTTACATGTCTATACTTCTAACGTCTGCCTTGCATTACTGCAGATAAGCCTGCTTTGCCAGGCATCTCTCCTCGGTGACAGTTTAACCCCAGGAAGACTTCTGTTTTTTTCAAACTTCCCAGGACATTTAATATTTTGGGGAAACATGTTTTACACTGGAATTTGAAGAGGTGACAGCGGTAACACCAAGTATTTAGTATATTTTTAAATACTGAAATTGTTTGCGGGACACTGCTGTGTGCAATAGTCTGCCGCGTTTAGCCCACAAAATATACAGTCAATTCACTTTGCAGTATGAAGCGCTTTGAGACATCTCAACTTAATGATCAGGCCCTATATCAAATACAAGGATTATTATTTTTATGGCTGCTAACACTGTCAGCCAGAAGAATCTCTCTGCCTCAGTGCTTTTCAGCACATGTAAGGTGGAAGAATCCTTCTGGGCCACTTTCCTGCAGATTGTTGGTGGGTGATTTCAGGGAAGCATTGTAAACCACGATGATGTGTTCTGGCTGCACAATCTTTAAAAAAGATTACAAATAAACTACTTTAGAAAAACATCTACCCTAGCAATTGTCCCTTTAAATATCATCCCAATTTATTTCCCCCCAAAGCCTATGAATTTCTAAAAAATCACATTACTTAAATTTGAGCTACTGTACTAGGTGTTTGGTGTTCAATCAGTCTCTATAGGAAATAGATTTCAAAGAGGTTAAATGACAGAAGGTGTTGCAGTGAGTCAGAGCCAAAATAAGCTACCAAATGCTTAAATGAGAGAAGCCAACGCACATTTGGAAAACTGCATGGGTCATTCAGTGCACAACAAATTAATTACAACAATCAGATTAACTGTGAGACTCCTAATTGAAAATAGAACGGGGGCACAGTGCCACAGAATAGTGGGTTGTGGTTTCCATCCTGGATTATTCACTATGTGCTGCACTGAACAGAAATCAGATCACTCCCTATGATTGTGGATAGGAAAATGGCAGAAATGGTCAATTTTGCAAACTTCCTCAAAGACAGATCAAGCACATATTGATTTGAGAATACTGTGGCTCCCCTCCCCATTAGCAGGGATGGTGCAGCATTGAGGTATAGGAGAGAGATGTAAAAGAGTCTGTTATAAAGTGGAGCAATGAGGATATAACAGCTTTCAGAAATTAAATCAAATTGGAAAAACAAGCTTCATGTGTAAATGCTTTGAGTGCAACTCGACAAACCTTAATATTGCTGGAACTACACTTACCAATGAGACCTTTTGCTGTTGAGGAAGATACTGCTATGTGAGAAGGCCTAGCATTCTGCTTGGAGTCTTCTGCTGTTAACGTTGCACCACTTCCTTCAGAATCAACTGACACATCTTTACCACCTCTCCGTTTTATAGTTCCTGTGTCACCTTCAGAGTCCTCTGCCCAATAACCTGTTGATGATGCCCAGCTACTTCTGCACTGAGCGGGATCATCTTTAAGCTGACTATGTGTACTGTATTTTGTGCCATGTTCTGAAAATATAGTTTGGTCCATCTGGCTGCCTGTAGCCCATGAAGATGGTAGTCCTGTTCCTTCAGCAGAGCTTTCATAAATAAGATTCCCAAAACTACTGAGTGACTCCCAGCTTTTCTGATGCTGAATTGTTTGAATGTTGTCATGAGAACCACTGGAACATGAAGTCCAACTTCCTCGACCACTATCTGCTGCATCAAGAGAAGCCCGGTCCCCTTGGTCCTGGGTTAATTCCTCCATACTGGGCGAAGAGAGTACTGCTGGCCCTGCATACAGGGTTCCTCTGCTCTCTGTGCTTGTTGGTGCAAAGGGACTAAACAAGAAGAGAAATGTTTGTTTTAAAGGTTGGAAAACAATATCCACATACTGAATATTACAGCCCTGTAAGGAGTTTCTGGCAATATACACCAGTTGCAGATTTTTTAACTTAGTAAATCTTTACAATAACACTGGTATCAAAAATTAGAAAGTAGCATTGCATAGTATGTTTGCAATCCTTAAACATTATCAATACAGGCTTGCAAGTTGGAACAAAATGGAATAGTCAAAAATACGTTCTTGCTCATGCTATCAAATTGATCTTGAGCCGCAGCTATTACTTATGTTATTATTAATTGTATCTTTATTAAGCTATCCTTTAGAATAAAGAGGAGAGTCACCCCTTGGCAGCTCAGTGCACACGGCCTCATTCCAACTCTGAATTAATAAACTGCAAGAAAATAGTTCAGTTGGTTGGGGAATTGACTTGTAATTTGGTAGCATTCACAAGGTACACAGGTGTGGGGATTGCACCACAATGCTTCTGCAGTATCTTAGTATCTGTCCTCAAATTTCTCTTTGCGACTCTAAACCTATATCCTCTTGGTTTACTGTTCTGGGTTTACTTTTTCAATCCCACTTAAAATTGTATACAACGTTATCAGGAACCCTGTGAGATGTCTTGTCTCAAGACTGAAGAGCCCTAGCTTGTCTAATCTGAACTGATTGTACAGTTAGCAATAAGATTGGTTTTTTAACATACTAATCAGAAAGAGGAAAAAACTATTTCTCTAATTGCAGTACCACATTTTTTTGATATTAAAAAATGCATTCTCCAACCTGACACAGTATTGATCCGAGTCTATCGTTGATCGCTTCTCCAATCTTCTCTCTATGCCTAGATTTGAATCCACAACACCGACAGAAAGCCGCTGCCGTCTGTCATCGTGCAGCATGACAGACACAGAGTCAAAGGAAGAATTGCTGACAATGCTGGAGCGGGAGGAAATTTCACTGTGCCCAGAGTCCGAGAAATTATCTGCAGTGGCACTCGGTGCTAAAGCAAAACCTAGAAAATGGAACAACATTGTATTACATGGGATCTAGGATTTCAGTACCTCTTACAAATTGAAGTGCTGGGAAGAAAAAATATATAATGATCAGACCTTTGAAAATATTGCAGTGTTGTTTCACATCCACTCCATTAAATAAAACTGAACTGGTATAAAATCAAAATTGAATGCTGTTTGAGGAAGCCATTGGAATAAAGGCTCTCTTCATACAGGATACAAAGGGAAGACAAAGACCTTCAAGTTCAAGTTACAGTATTTTGGTTAAAGCAAGCTAATTTTATATTAAAGAAAACCTTTGAAAACAACGCTTTATTGAATGGCAGGCCTTCGTGCGATACTGCAGGCTTTCTTGTAATGCACAGGTAAAAATAGGGAATATGTCCTTTGTAAAAGATTTTTAACCTTTATAGAAATGAAAAATTTGAATAAACACAATTCGAGTAAAAACTTGAAATGTGCCTGTATTAAATTTTGAAGCTTATCATCATGACTGTAAGATTTCACCCGAATGTAATGCCAGATCTCTGGCAGCAAAACTGAATTTTAAAATCGCTATAGGTTTAAAAGGCCATAACATTAGAAACATAAATTGCATAAACTTGCAGAAAATAATTTTAAGTTAAATTATAAAAGGCAAGAATATGGAAACAAAGATGGGAGAAAATGCATCACAGGACAAGCACAGGAAGNTTTTTTTAAATTAAAGTGAAAATCGATTGTAATGGGTTACGGTTATTACTGTAAGGCTAATCATTCCAGTACTCCATTTTTGTGAGGAGGGGGGCAGTAGTGCACAAGTGAAAAACTGATGGGCCCACAGAGATCACAATTTCCATAGGCTTACTGGCAATCTAAAAATTAAAAGGCAATTACAAGCTTAAGTTTCCCCCAAAAGAGGCAATCGTAGAAGACTGCATGTCCAAAAACGTATCCGAAAAGGCAAAATAAGCATCGGAATTAATAATCATGCAACTTGACAGCAAATGAACATGTTTAGTAATTAATATGTCTGCTGTGTGTTGCAATTTTGTTTTTGCAACTTATTTGAAGATAAGTAGGAGAGCCTTGTAAGCATGGGATGAATTATGAAGGTCTTTTTCTTTCACAAGTGACAGAATATCAGTCAATTTGTGATTTAATTCTTCCACAGGGATTGTCAAAAGGGTTGAAATTGTTCCAGCACATTTTGTCTTGTGAACTTCATTGTACAAACCTACACATGTACATTTTGCGTTTAGTATCTGAATTGTCACCGTCAGGGATAGGGACTTTAGAACTAGAGCGGTTGACGCCGAATCCACTAAACTACTTCAATATGGTACTGTTCTACTAATTTCACAATCATCTATACAGATAAATGCAGTCACTGGAACTGCAAGACTCAAGGTGAGGTTTTTTTTGAGCAACACAACCATTTAGATGGGTTTAAACACAAGAAAATGTACATATTTGGAATGGCAAAAGTTGAAAGAATTTATATCATGTTTCTCCTTTATCTGATGTTGGTGGCTCAGGTCATTTTATGCATTTATGCCACTTTAAAAATTTCTATATTTTAAAAACATGAAATTTGAACTTCATTGTGAAATGGTACGTTCCAACTATCCAAAATGCTGGAAGACGTAATGTTTTGTTTGCAAATTCTCTTTTTCTATTAGGCTGTGTCACTGCACTCAGCTCAGCTCCCAACAGCCCTAACCCACAATTTTAGTTTTTATAATCTATCGTTGTCTTTTCTAATAAACTGCAGAAAGACAATCTGTCTCATCTTTCTAGTCTAACATGTTTCTCCATCACCTATGTCAAGGATGTACAAATCACTCTCTAAATTTCTTGCCTGTGATAATTGTACCATTTTCAACACCAGTTTACTCAACTTGGCTTAAAAACATCCTAGAGCCATCACTGCAGCCGCTGCTCGTCTCAACTGAGTGCCCTAAGGCTACCAATCCCTCAACTAAACTAGTAGATTTTGCTTTGTACGACAACCCCACCTATCCCATAGATCCGTGGTGCATTGTTATTCTTGTTACTGTTTTCACTTCCAAGAGAGGATGAAGAGCCTGTTAGGTCCGACTGTCTGGAGCCATGAGATCTCGGCTTACTGCAACCTGACAAACAGGATGAGAAAACCAGTTTAGAAATCAAATCTATCATTCACCGTATCTCCTTGAACAGAACCAAGCTCTCATTTTTCCAGACAACCTTTGCTGTGGTGGGGAGGAGGGGGGGGTCATTGTCTGACTAATTCACAAAGAGTTCTAAGGAGCATTTAAACCTCAAATAAGAGTTGGCAACAAGCCTGATTTTTTTCTCTATCCTTTTTAAAATACGATTATCGGGTCCATTAGCCACCTGTACATACAAAGGTTATTCCACACTTATACAAGATGTGGCGACCACATACTCCTTACTGGTAAATTCACAGCAGGCTGAAAATGTGGAAGGTCACACTTGATAAACTCAAAAATCTACCGGTTAGACAAAAATACACCTACAAAATATCTTTTAAATGCTCACCTTACTAGAAATTAATGAAATTAACAACAATCTCAAAAATATTTACCAAAAAGGTATGAAAAAGATTACAAAATATGAAATAATCATTGAAAGGACAGAGCTCATTTTCCCAACAACCTGAATACCTATTATTACCTATTGTCTGCATCTAAGTGATGAGATTTATCGTTTGAAAATCAGTGTCTTAGGAAGATGTTAAGTGTAAAATACAACCTTATGGAATAACTGCTAAAACGGGGCTTCACTAATGCTGTTCAACATCATACATCAGCAATACTGCTCACCACAACCCTAAATCTAATGAGCATTTTGTGTTCTATTCTGGGTTTGTTTTTAATTATGCTGTTCGTGTTCTACTGCACTTTATGAGTTGGTGGTTCTGCTCAAGGACATATCGTAGCCTTCCACACAGAAACAGATATTGAACTTCTCAGACCAACTAAACTGACAGGGAAAAAATTGACTGTTATCTATCAGTTAGTCAGCTAAGCAGCTATTAGTCTGCGCGATGATGGTGGAAAGACATTTCAGCTTTTGTGCTATCCAAAGTCACATGGTTATGCAGAATAAGACCTGAGCCAACAAGTAGCAACAAAGAGAACAGGATGCATTTCTTTTTCTTTTAATTTATATGGGAGTTGTATGTCATATTTGTCAGTTATGCAATTAAGGTGGTATATTTTTGCAAGAATAATTGCAGTACTTATCTACAGTGTTTTGATTAATTTTTCTTTCTACAAATCAAAAATGTCATGCAAAACACAATTGGGTGTATTAGTGGTAGATAACACTATTGGATCAATGTAATAACGTTAAAAGTAAACATAACAATAATCCTTGCATTTATCAAGTATTCGAGACGTCTCAAAGCGCATTTGGTATGCATTTAAGGAGTGAGTAAAATTATTGTGCCATTTTGTCCTTTTGTTGGGGGGAATATGCCTTAAACTAGTTAAGCCTGAACAAACGCCATATATCTTCCAAATTTTATAAGGTGAGAGCACACATGAATAGCCACTATAAGTAATGGGGCAATATTTGCACATGTAGATAACTAGGCAGTTGCAGACGAAAAGTGCACTTGCAGTAGATTGGAAATCAGGACTGAATAAGTATTTGTATCACACTTTGTTAGTAAACTACGTTTTTGAGTGAGGGAGAAGGAATTTTGATTTCTCTTTTGGGATCTGGGACATATTAAGACGCTACCTTTCCTTGGAGAGGTCTGAGGAGATGTAGGGGGAGATGACAGCTGGGAAGATGTGTTTGATATTGTATCTTCTGATTGCTTTTTATTTCGATCCAAATTTGCCTCTTCAGACAAGGACAGAATTTTCTTCAAGGCTTGAGGAGAATGAGTACCTTAAGGATAGGAATAAAAATCATACTGCAATTGAAGCAACATCCCTGGCTTCAATGCCTGCACAGTAAATAACATTAAGCAAGCATACAACAGAGAAGAGGAAACATTTACTGAAATAAATGTAAAAATCACAAATTCAAGATAACTTAACTAATGAAAGGGGTTAGAATTTTCCTTTACATAGAGGGTGTGACTGGATTGCAGAAATACTTCTGAGGAGGGCAATTTTTTTTGAAAAAAGGAAATCAGATCAATAATTGTAAAAGAATAACAACAATTAAGAGTGGGATTAGATAAGGTAGCTTATATCAAGAAAAACACCAGTACAGACTTGATGGGCCAAATGGCCGGTTTCTGTACTGTAACATTCTAGGATTGTCAATATTCACAAGAACGAGAACAAACCATTCCACACTTTATTGCAACGGTACTCCAGCTAGGCTATTTTTAATGCACATTTTGGGTAGAGGCAAAGGGAAAAGTATCAAATGCAGTTCTGAGAATTATGTACGCATTTAGAAACCCTGAATTACCAAATGGTGGGAGATCCTTAATTGGTACTTTCTTCCGTGATTGATACATGGTTACAGCTTGGACTGGGACCTGAAGGGCCTGGTTTGCTTTCTGCTGCTGCTGTTTCAGATGTTGTGCTCCTGATCTTGGAGCAACTGGCGATGTGTCTGATGGTTTCCCTGCTTTCTTGTCTCCTATGCTCTTGGGTACTATTCAACAATTGAGAAATAAACAAGTAAGAAGCACAGATTAGTTCTGAAAAGAAGGTTCTAAACTGCTCTACAATTTTCAAATCATCTATCTTTACACTTAAAGAAAACAAATACTTCAGATGTATTTCACAACTTTGTCGTCATTATCACTTGAATGCCAAATCCAACTGAGAGCGATTGGTACGGAATTCAAAAAAGATGCCAGCCATAAGTTCATTAAAAATCATATTTTCAAGGAACACACATTCTGGTAAATGCTTAGAGCAAATACATAGTGAAGATTATACAGTTATAAATGTTAATGCTTAACCAACTTCCGAGGCTGATTAGTTTAATGCACAGTCGGATCAAGATTATGGATGTTAAATAGAAAAAAAAGGATTGACATAAGTAAGGATTTACCATGCACCACATTTTTCCAAAGGGGATTGATACCATAAAACCACAGAGCACAGAGAAGGCCATTCTGACCATTTTACCTGTGCTGTCTCTACAGCTAGCTCTACAGCTATATTTCCTGGACACTTAGGTTTAATACTTTCTGTTAAAATTCCAATCTGGTGATCATATTTAATTCATTCCGAACTGATTGAATGGAGAATTATTCACTGTACTTATTCACTTTAACTACCAGTTCGATGGGAATATTTCCCTGATTTATGTACAGTACTATGTGAAAAGGAATTAAGTTTTACTTGTGGAAAACAATTTCTCCCCTTCAAACTGCTCCACTAGTTGTTTCCAGAGTGAGGACAGTTTTTGCTGATCCAAGACAGACATTTATTTGCGAGTTGCCATGTATGAATACAAATGATCCTGTTTGAAATATTGACTAGAGTTCTGCACTCAGTCCCTTACGTATTCTGTTTGCCAATTCAAACACTATTTTCAAAATAATACTGTATGCTCAAGTGTTTCTGATTAAAATATTGCTAACAGATGTCCTGTCTGTAAAAATATTATACAATTAATGCAACCACAGTATAATCCAGTCAGTGATACTACTCGCTGTTAATTTGTCCTTTCTGTACTGTCCCCACTACAATTACACACATGCCAAGACTTATTCCCTAGGCCCACCCATAATAATGGCCATGGGTGAGGGACTGGAGGTGGCCCAGCTGTTTTCCCCCAATAATTAAGAGCTACATTAAAAATCAAATACCTAATAAAATTGATTCCCCCCACTTCAATTACCCACCCCCACTTCCCTACAGCTCTTCTGAAAGCAAATCATTGTATCTGTCCAGGCACTGGTCACCTTCTGGCACATTGCTCAAATTGTATTACTTAACTCCAAGTGTTGGTAAACTATTTGACTCTGCAGGAGGGAGGCAGTATCAGAACAGATGCCCAATCCTTCCTGTCCTCACCTGATATCCTTCCAGCAGGGATCTCCGAGAAGCAATCAAATTGGGAACGTTAATACCTTAACCCTTCTAACCCACAGGAACTGAGGTCAATTCTAGTAGCTCAGTTGTCCCAACTGAGATCAGTGAGCTAAACAAAGAACATGATTCAAACCTGCAAACCTTGAGTCTACATTTAACGGCATTGTCTTTATCCCCTAAGCCATCAAAGATGGCATCATACTTCTAAATACTTCATCATGAAAAGGCTTATAAACAAAAATCAAAAGCTTTCTCTACAGCATTGCATGCAAATAACTTTTTAACAGAAATGTTTTGATAAATAGCTTTAGCAATAATATGTAAAATAGATATATATTAGATATTCAAAATTAAATGATTTTTCGAAGTCTGTGACTCACGTGTATTAGTGGATGGCTCGCACTGCAGTGATAAGGCCTGCAGGCTTTCTTCATCCATGTCCAAATTGAGGTTAGCCAGATATTGTTTTACTTTCCGAGCCATCTGTGCATCTTCATAGAGTTTCTTCGCATTGAGAAATGAGCTGCGGCGGACCCGTTTCTTATGCCCCCCTGTTTGCACCACATCCAGCACAGCAGCATTTGTACTGCCCTGGCTAAGTGACCTGCCATGGAGGAAAGAGACAGATGGCACTGGTTTCAGCTTGGGGGTTAAAGACTGGTACATGCAAAAGTCACATTGAGGTCAGTCTTTGTTCAAGCGCAAAATACCACATGCTTCATTCCAGTGTCAGACAGATAAAAATGAAGAATGAAATGGGAGGGAGGAAGAGAGGAACAGCTGTCCGATCCTTTCAACAGCAGCTACTCTGAAGTTAGTCCTATCTTGCTCCAACTTGACAATCAAAAATGTCACCACTATAAGCATCTCTGCCCAGAAGTTTAATAGAAGCCACTATTTTGTCAGAAGGTTGGAGCAAGAATTAAAGTTCATGCAACACTAATGTTAAATAGCAGCTATAATAAGTCCTGGTAATATCAATACATTATTTTCGAAATGTAAAATATATCCCATCTCCCTCCCCACTCACCATTTTGCCTTGCATCATTTGATGAAGGATATGCAATTCATGCACCCCACTCTTTCTCCTCACAAAATCTAATATTTTCCCTTGCACAGGAAGATGAAACAACAACAACTTGCATTTGGAAAACAAATAACCGCTGTCTCCTCAGAAGCCTGACAAAACCATGCTCACCTTTTCCGACATTTGGCTTTCTTTCCTCAGTATCTCACAATCTCTGCTTGAGCATTTTGGTTAACGTTTTCAGACCCGAGCCTCTCTGTCTCCTCCTAGTCTCCCCCAGCCGCTGCTCTATGTTCCACTCTCTCATTCCCTGCCTCCTCGTGGCCCCATCTCTGTCTTAAAGTCCTGCCTCAAAACCTACTTCCTCGAACACCTTATGATCACTCCCTTTCCTCTCCTGCTGTCCAACCCCGCCTTCATGCTCAACGACATTAGCCTACTTAAAGGGTACCAGAGTTGTTGTTATTGTTATTGTTGTCAAAAACCCGAAGGTACTCAACTCTGGTACTTCAAAAATCACACCTACTACACCGACCACCCAATACAGTTATTTAAGAACAAAGCTTTCCTCGATATTGAAAAATGTACAATTATGCATACATATGCAAAAATACTTGCCCAAATATAAATTTAACCAATGCAATTTAATTTGATATCCATGATATAATAGCATTTCTGTTAAAATACAGGGAAAACGTATAGTGCAGTCAGCTGGGTCCAATGACTCATCAGCCAAGTGAGGCGTGAAACAATGGCCAACTTCCAACTCAGCAGGTCACGGCTGATGTCCATCCAGGAAATAAAGTCAGCAGCAACCTGATAAACTGGAAGTTAGCCAATTTAATATGAGAAGCCAGCTAGTTCAGTGCTGAAAGTCAGATGTACCAGATCTTCCAGTTATCATGGGTCCACAGTAGACTGCACTATAAGCATGGCAGCATACAATCAAATGGTGCTATAACAGTTCCTCTGTATTTATAAAAGTCAAGTGTTATAAGTCTAGGGATCACCACAGTCATAAATGAAACCATGAGTTAAATCCAGCACACGAAAGTGTGTAAAATTGTAATACTTAATTACTCATACAAATATAATAATGCCAATATTTTAATTTGTAAATATTTGAATTTATACTTTTTTAAAAAAATCAGATGTCTTCCAGAATCACATCCATTCTAAGCCACTTTGTCATGTACATATTTAAATGTCAGTTCCAATCTTCATTATATTTTTGACTTTCAGAGGGCTGTCTGCTCTCATGGTTCCAAAGATGGTGCTTGTAAACTTTTTTTTTAAATGACCTTAGTAGCCTAAGCAAATGTTAGATGAAAATTTATGTCAGTAGGTAAAGTTCATTCAACAGGAGGCCAGCACACAAATGGGTTAAACTGAAAAATGTTGAAGCAAAAGGGAATCAGCAGATAGGAATAATGCAAATAGCAAAACATGTCCTCATTGCCTACAGTACCACCACTTACCCAAGACTTCTCCATTTCTTCTTCCTGTAAGTGAGAGCCATGAATATTGAAGCGTGGGTATAGAAAGAAAGATAGAGAAAGATCACAAGCTCAGACAGAAAAGACCAGATCTCAGACATGCAGTAACAGAAGCCAAGGGACATAACACAGTCCAGTCACTTCAATCATCACAACACAAAATAGTGACCATGATCATTGTATTAAGTCTCAAACACTCCCCAGTCCAGTCATAATATTTACCCTCTGTGAACAAAATGACTATTTTAAAGCTGCAATAATTAAGTGAAATGATACAATAATTAAAATGTTGCATTGAGATGATCAATTTATAATCTGAGTTTCAATTTTTTTAAAATGAGGACAGTAAATGGGGCCTACTGCAGGTACAACATACTATTTTTATGAAAAGTACTTAAATAGCTCCCGACCAGGCAGGCTGATTTCTGGAAACTTTGATCTCTCAACATCTCATTTGAATCATCATTTAAAAACATTTTAAATACAATGAATATAAAATATCACCTACCATGTAGAACTTTACAGTTCAATTCAGTGACCTTTCTCCCGCACCACTCAAACACACAAAAAAAAACTGAGGACTGCTCAAATATTGAAACATTGGAGAACCCATGAAGATAAAGCTTCCCTTAAAAATGATTTTGACTCAATGACATCATGAATTAAGAAGACATCCCTCCCCATATGGTTCCCAGATCTCCGCAGCCCACTAACAGTGCTGCAGTTTATTTTTGTTACTTCATTCTGTAAATTAGTCCTTTCAATAGGTAGAAGAGGTGGTTAAGAGGATCGTAAATTCAAAAAATGAAATACCCAATGACAAATAACCTTTCTTGCTCACCCCCAACATACTCTCTAACTCAATTTTAGGTGAAGGAGGAAAACATAAGGAAATTGTTGCTGTATTAGCGAGGCTAACAAACTATCTCAGAGCTACAATATTTTTTCTCAGCCTTGTGTGGAACTTACTCCTTCAACTCTTTAAATTAGTTGAAGAATGGGGAACCTTATTGGCGCTGCCTCAGTGGCATTTATCAGTGGCACCGCACAAGGTTGGACCAATCTCTGTGAACTTTGTGGCACTGGATGGATCCAGTAGCTTGCTGTCTTGTTTGAAGTTTTGATTATGCTTCTTCACCCGTTGTTCTTTAGGGTGGTGCGGCTGTACCTGCAGTACCAGAGGTGGATGTGTCGGCAGAACTAGACAGCAACAGTGTCACAGACATCAAGCAGATTGTACTTGCTCAAACATTGTGCTGCCTCAAAAATCAGAGGCTCTAAAGTCCCTGCATCCTAATCTTTGCAACATCCTTTCTACTATTTCACCCCGTAGTTTAGTCTATGTGCATTCTGCAAAATGCCTGTGGGGATGACCAGGAAGGAGCTTGGTGTGTGAAGGACACCTTTGATCTCAAAAGTGTCAAATTACCTATGCTGAAACAATATTTATTTGACGTGGGAGAGGGATGGAAGGAAAGAAAAGTTCACGGCTGAGTTGAATTCGAAACATAACTTTAAAATCTTACATGTTTATGCTACCATTCACAGCACCTTAATAAGTATGGTCAGTTCATTGGAAAGCAAAATGATTTGTATCCTCAGGGCATTATCTGTCTTTTAGTGTGCTACAGGGCCTTTCTGAGATGAGATTACACCCATTATTATCTACAAAGGGAGCAATTGTAGTTGGCTCATATTACCTCATCATGTGTTCAGTTATTCTATGAACAGACAGCACTCACCTTGTCCTGAACATAACAGCAGGATCCATATTAACCGATGCCATGCGGCCAACATGACGGATTTCTTTAGCAATCATTCGGAGCTTTTCAAAATTTATCAAACCTTCCACCTTGGAATCATTCCCTAAAAGAAGAAAAACAATTTCAGCGATGAAAGCAAAATGGATCTTTATTTTACATAGGTCTTTGGATTTGCACTGTAGAAAATTATTGTGACAGAAATTTGCAGCGCTCAGTACCATTATCATGTCTCCACACAGCTCCACAAGAAGGAGGACCTAGTTTTAAGATTCTACTTCAACAAATAAAGAAAGACTAACGATTAGTGACTTGTTTCATCTGTCTTTTGACAGTTAATAATTAAACAATATAACTTTGAAGGGGCTGGCACAGGTCAATAATTAACTCAATAATTAGTGTTTCATCATGCCATTGCAATATTTCAAAGAGCTTCACAGGATTTTACTGTGAAATATTGTTGTGACTGGTAGCCAATTTGCACATAACAATGTCCCACAAGCAGCATTGAAATAAACAACCGATTTTATCTGGATGACCACCAAAAGCACTTGAAGAGATCGAGGCCGAGCAGAGTGAAAGAAACAACTTGCATTGCCCTTCATACCATGTAGAGTCTTGAAGCACTTAAGGTGGGAGGAAGATAACCAAAATGCATTCAAGGAGGTAGGTTTTAAAGAGGGTTTTGATAGTTTAGAGAGATGTGAGGCAGACTGATGGAGAGTATGGGAACAAGGTGGTTGTAATGGTGGGTAAGAGGACTTTGAGCAGGCTAAACTAGGCAAAGAGGAGGTTATGGGTGGAGAGTTAGACTTCAGGAGATCACAGAGATAGGATGGGACTTAATGGCCCAAATTACCTTTTTGTTATGCTCTGTATGTGCTCGATTTTGAGACAATAAAACACTACACTGGTCAAAATAGATGGTCCTCAAATCTGGCTTCCAATTGTTTTTGGTGCATGAGCAAATTAGCAAACCAATTCAATTAAATGGTGGGAGAAAAGCCACCACAAGCAGCAGCATTCAAATTCACCTAAGTACGGATATTCAAGTAAGTGAACAGCAAACACAGAAGCACAATGACTGATTTACAGGTTTTTAAGAGAGCTACCTTCGTGGAGAAATGTAAGGTCCTTCTTGATGACAGGGAAAAGAGGAATAATGGGAGGCTGTAGATTCTGGTTATTGAGAACATTGCGATATTTAGCCATGTTTCTGGAGGGATCAAAGAGATCCTGAAGATCCTGAAATAACTTCTCATATTTGCTTGGAAGCTTTTCCCAAGTACCTCGTAGTCGTGACACTGGGGCAAGATTTAGACCACTATATTTTGTGAGGAAATTAAAAAAAGGTTAACATTAGTATGACTCAATTATGTCAAGCAAACGTAAGTAAATTCCTACATTTCAACTACAGTTTCTTATTAAAAACTGTTTTATATCTCACTAAACTGAAAATCTATTTTCACATATTACATTTTTCTGAATTACGTTATAGATTTAAGAATAACTTGAATGGCCAAGATTACATTTAGAAAAGTGTTCAGATGTTTACCTACATACACATAGGCACACATATTCGCACACAAACATCAAGGATCAGTACTAAAAGAGTGAAGACTAGACAAACCAGGATTTGAATCAAAAACTGCCCTGCACCAAAGTCAGTGGATTTGAATTATTGAGCTACCGGATATATTTTGTTTAAATCTTACTTTAGCAGCCCTAACCAATTTATCCTGAACCCCTACAATTTTTCAGTTGTGGCATCACTATTTCTAGGCATTCTCCTAATATTGTAACCAAAGCAATGCAGCACATTAATACTTATTTTAAAGTCTGCTTAATAACATCACAGGGTGGAATAATTGAGTCTTATTATTAAGTATTCTGTATATTTAATACTGGTCAGCTTCTATTTGCCGCTCAACATAAAATCACACGAAAAACTCTCATGAAATATTAATGCCCTTTCCCTAAAATAAAGAAAGCAAAATATTTCCCCAAATTAGATGCTTAATATCACTGTTTTTGATGGAAAAATCATCCTGGCATAAACACTGCCAGATTTAGAACAGTTTGGTAAGTGGGGAACTGAAACTCCTTTACTCCTCATCAGCAAGTTATCTTTTGGAGAACATAATGCTAATTAGGAGAGTGGTATCCAAGCTTACCTTTAAAATCATTAGGAATGCAGTGGCATATTGAATCCTGAATAAAATTTGGCTCAACAGATAGTTTCAAATAAATATGAAGTGCTAGAACTCTGCCTTTGTGCTCTGTGATATTCCAATTATACTCAGTAATCATACTTTTGTTAGTACAATGAGTACATTAGTTACAAATTCTACACAATTCGATTCTGACTGGCTTATTTTGATCTAAGTACTTCTAGCACTGGGTTGCAGGTCCAATTAGCAACATGAGCTCCTAAGAAAGCAGTCATCTCAAAAAGCACTATTTCTGCCACAGACCATCCTGTAATTATATTGAGTCAACATTTCAGTCTTTTGTCAATTCCACGTGCAAATCATGCAAAATGATCCGCCTCTCTGTTCTTTATTTTCACATTCTTCCTAATGTTTCTCTGTGCTCTTTCTGCTTTCATCTTCAGAGTATTAGTTGCCTCCTTTCTAGACCCTCTGTTCCTTCACTTTCCTCTTCTTTAATCTCCTCACTTTCAAATTCCACACAATCCTGCATTGTTTACAAATTAAAATAAGTTACCTGTTCAAATGAAAATCAGAAAACATTCAAATAAAGCTGGAAAATTTATAGAGAAAAATTGAATGCAAGGTTTGTCATTTTTTAGCACTGTTCAATAAGCTATTTGCTCTTGCAAAACAACCAAACTGTTGAAGCCTATAGGGATTTTCAGTTTAATTAAATACATTTTTTGCTGCAAAAATTTAGAGCCAGTGTCAAACCATTTTTACATTGTTCTAAAAGACCGTCGTAACTTTTCTACACTGCTAGAATGAATCACGAGTTGTCCTTCAAAAGAATAATTTGAATTTCTTCTGATTGTTGAAAAAAAGAGCCTTCGAGTGATTTCTCCACATTATATTTTTCCTCATTTTAAATCTTTTCTGCTCAGCAATGTCTTTTAAAACACTCTATTTTGAACAGAGATAATTCAATATAGAAGATATATTTCAACTTTACAACTAAAATACATAATTTCTAAAACCATCCAAACCATGTTGCAACCCCACTGAAAACTACATAACATTTGATTTCAGTCCATCATTTCATTAGTGTATGTAACCAAATGAAATATCAATCAACTATGCTATCATTCAATTTCTCAAGTATCATTTTGCTCTGCTTTTTTAAAAAAGAGATGTGTACACCATCATCTTGAGCTAGAGTAGTAACATCAGGGAAAAAATATGGTTAATGGCACAGCAAATTCTGCAACAAATAATGTAAGATCTGCAACAAAGAAAAAATATAAGACTAATCCATTGTGTGCTTTCCCCCCCTTTACCTGATAATTGCAAACATGGAATTAAAGTTTTTGCACTCTCTACAGTGTAGCGCTATCTTGATAAAGTGTTTAATTATCTTCATTCTTTTCATTTGGTTTGGCTCTCTGATAATCTCGGTTGCAACCCAAAATGTTTCCTGGTTGATAATGTTCTCAAATTTCTTCAGACTGACGCATTCGGTTTTTAATTTCAGCTTGAACAGATCATCTATGTACTCTGTGGGTTCAATGTTACGAAACAGTTCAAAGTTTCTCATAGAGAGTTGGGTAGCAACTTCAATTGTGCTAAGCTGAAGTAGGGAGATTTGACTTTCCCGGAGTAATTCCTGAGCATCTTCATCTGAGCACAGTGTCTCTGTCTCCATGTTATTCTTCAGGTAGTATCTTTTAAAGGCAAAAACAAACAGGAACATATCATTGAAAAAGTATGTTTAAAATAGTTTTTCTTTTTAATTAATAATCTTCTATAGTATAGGCATTCTTTGTTGCCTCTAAAAATGTTGCTTTAATGCCCAAACCATAATTAGTAACCAATGCTTGTAAAAAAAATTATACTTGGTCATTTCGAGCCAAAGTCAAACACAATACTATTTATATGATGCAAGCAAAAGTAAGGCATGAATCAGGTTACAGACTAATCTATCAAATGATTCTGTATGAAGGTTTTGTCTCAATAATTTTCTTTTTCCCATACAACCAAAATATTAAAACAAGTCTACCATATTTTTTCAGTTTTATATGTTAAAGTCACATTGGAATACTTGTTTCAAAATCTCTCTTTCCGCCTCACAACCCCTAAAAACAATCAACCATATTGTTTCACATATATTTGATTGTTTGATGTCCTCTCTGTATTTTTTCCTCTTCTACAAGTAAGCTAGATTCAGTATGCAATCTTCAATAAAAACCTTCTGGAGTGATTGAGGTATCACAAAGTATGATTCAGGGGCAGAAATCACTACATAAAATCTCAAAAGCTCCAGAGTTACCACTTGTTTGTGGTAGAATTGTATGCAGGGAAGTCCCTGAGGGAAAACTATTAGAGTGAGCTCACTCAATCTGCTTTGATCCATGTTTCAGTTGTCGACTCAAGCATATCATTGTCAAAGGGCAGCAACCAGGGAATGGTGCTTACCTTTGAGGCTGAGCCAGAGCGACAAATAATGGGAGAAAACATCAAATTAAAAGATGGGGCAAAAAATAATTTGAAAAATATACTTCAGTCACAGGATTTGACTGGGTTGGCAATCAAATATGCAATATGCATTAGGCATGTAAACAATGCAACAAACAAAACTGCAGACCGAATGCTTCCCATTCAAACTTTTCCTAACCTGCCCGAGGATAAGGGCAGTTTATCTTCACTAGCACGCTTCTGAATTTTCAGTTCCAAACATACCTGCCACTAAGCTGAATTCGGTCTGCGAGCTTTGATAGCTGATCTGGGAGCCGCTTCTGTTTGATGACACCTTCAGGAGTGACTGAAACTTCACACAGGGAGTAGGATTCCGAAGAAGCAGTCACTGCAAATTCTCGAAGCGCCTGAATTACTACTTCCTTTGCGGTGGTATCTCTGCTGATCATTATGTAGCGACTTTGTTGGTCTGCCTTGAAAACTCGTAAAACCTGATCTGGCAAATCTGTTCAAAAAGCAAAACAGCTTTTTAAAATAAGTGGGGAACAAATTCAAATTTCTTCAGTGTGAAGATTCAACATTTGTATGTGCTCATTAGTAAAGCAACTTACACAAAGAACACAATGACAAAGACCTGGTCAGCTCGCCAGTTAGAGGCACAAAATAGCAAGTGCGAATGTGCTAAGTAAGGTTAGAGAATGTTAATTTAATCGTGTTCATTCAACCTGAAAACAGCTGATAGCTGATCCATTACAAATTGCAATTTCTTCGTATCTACTCGTATAATACTGACTGGACTGGTTGCAAGCAAAAAGTTACCTTTGCCATGAATCATTTCCCTTACCAAACCATTTCTTTCCTAAATGTAGGCAAGAACATTCTAATCTGAGACAAAACATATACAGTATATTGTCCAGTTAAGGGTAGGTTGAAACAAGACTTTAAAAATCAACCATGGGTTCGTGAACATAATGTTGTTCATCATCTTGAGATATTCGACCGAAAAATTAAATCCTTCTTTTTTTTATTTTAGCAATACTTTTAAAAGCGATCAAAGCACTTTTTTATATTTTGCAGGAATGCTCATTAAGATGAAAGATTGAGGCAGGAAACAGTTAGTAAAACGATAAAAAGGTCAAGATGATGTTCCCTCAATTTTGAGATGTCTTATTGTGTGGGACACAAACAAGCTTGCATGAGTTATGTAACACGTCAAAATTCAGTAACTTCTGATTTTTGGAGGAGTTTTGGTCTTTACAAGGTAGCATGATGGAGAGCAAGTTATTTATGCTCCTGTATAATGTAGGTAACAAAGAACTGATATTAAACAACTTGACAAAGTTAAAACAATTAATCTTATTTATAGGTCAATATTCTCATGGCACTATACTTTTCACCCAATTATAGCTCCAATCATTTTTAACTGTGCATTACAAAGATCACATGCAAAGTACAGCTCCCCTTCTACCAGCTTTCCTAAAAGATTCTAAAGCTCTAGTTTTTCCTCACCACATGCAGTCTTTTTATCTCATAGGTTCTTAGTTGAGTACTGCACTAGCTTGTACCAAATTCAGAGCAGCAGAGCTGTGGAATGATGTCCAGTGGGAAATAAATGTAGGCCACCAAAGCCTTTTACTACAGACATTTAATATTGGAGAAGAATTGAGATTGAACCTTGGTGCCATACCTAAAACAAAGCTGTGCTGCTGCATTCCCAAAAGGATTAGAATGGTGTGTTAAAGGGAAATAATTCACGTGGACATAAATAAGTGATTTACATTTCCCTTTCGCAACAGTAACAGAGCCCAATAAACCACTATTTCATTGTCCTTTGTGTTGTCTTAAAATCTCATACCATTTTCAATGGAAGACGTGTGTTCTTAACGAATTACAGTATACTGTATCTGGTTAGTTAATTAACAACACTAATACAGTGAAGTAGATTGAATTTTCTGAATATTTTTAATATAAGTTAGGTGATGATGACTGACTGCACCAATTATACAATAGATAGATATCACTGTAAGAAAATAAACACTTCCATTCATAGGATATGAATTTGCAACTAATCTATCAAAATGGTTAGATTACTGAATATTTAAAAAAAGAATCAATATTTAAAAACTTCTATTTCCACATTCTCCCTACTTCCCTGGAAAAAGGAACAAATGTGGTCAGCACCACATGCAATATCTTACAGCATGTGGAATTTCTCAATGCACACGTGTCCAACAAGCTACTTGTCATTGCAATAGATTCTTTGAAGGCAGCATTGACAACTGAATGATGATATAAGGACAGTTTAGGCGGCCAGTTTTCTCTCAACCAGATAACACTGGATTTAAGTTTTAACACGCCACTATTTTTGGTCTGTTTCAGCTTTTTACATTTCCCTTCCAAATTCCTACAGCAAAGAAACATCCACTCTTGTGCAACCAAATGCTGAACTGAAGGAAACAATCATAACAAAATGTGAAGCAGCGAAAAGAGATAAGAAGGATTAAATATGGAACTTTAGATCCACTGTGGGCTAAAAGCAAGCATTGCATTGCCCGGAGCACAATAACGTTAAAGCACACTTATGCTAGGATACTCACTATAAACGCTTGCACCTGGGGGAATAGGAAAGAAAAGTAAATATTTGTTGTGCCTTGTACTTTGAAATTCTCGGCTTTTTGCAAAAATTTAGCAAAATTCAATCCACTAGTTTGAGTGCTCTTTTACACAATGCAAGACAATGGAGATCCAGTTTAGTTCACCAGTGAGTAAGATCCGAGGATCTGAACGAGTAAGGTAATGGTCCTTTATGAATGGAATAAACAAAACAGTTCACTATTCCCTACTACATAATCTGGGGAAATAAGTTCCTAAGTTATTTTATTTATTCTTAAAATAATCTGTCAGAAGTGTAGTGGTTCAACCTCCACTTCTCTTTCTCACTACCTAAATCTTGTTGCCTCGCTCACCTTCAAATTATCTTATTCTACTAGGTCTGTGTGTACAAGTTCATCTGGACTCTGCATTGGCTCCATATTAAAAGGGGTGCTAATGCAGAGTCCAGATGCTCTTGTACACGCAGAACCAGTAGAATAAGACCATTTTAAAATGAGCGAGGCAAAGAGGTTTTAGAGAGCGAGAAAGAGACCGGGGAGGGAGAGACCACTGACATTGAAGGACTCACCACTAACTACAATACTAACAGATTACTTTAAGAATAAATAAAATAATTTAGGAAGTTATTTCCCCAGATTATGCAGTAATGACATGAAGACTTTTCACAACAATTGTTCAGTTAGAAATTTGAACGATCATAGTTCAGAGCTACGGTTTCCTAAAAGCAATCAAAAGGAACTGCACTGAAATGTTTAAAAATCAATGAATATTTATGACCTAATCTTAAAAGCAAAGAGACATCTGAACTAAAGAATAAATTAAAATTTTGTCATTGCAAGGTTCTTATTGCTTCAAGTAGCCAAAAGCACCATAGCAAATGAAATTTAAAGACCTGAAATTGATTATTTCTCTTTTATTACATAGGTCCATGTCATTTGGATACATAAAAGAAGCATTTAAATTGAAAAATACCATGTTTTCTACAAATATAATGCCAATCCTATCTGCATTTTATAGTTTCACTGCAAGCACTGAAATTTGACATGAACGATCTGCAAATATAAGTATAGAATATCATATGTGTATAAAGACAGTACTGTAAAGCTGCAAGTATGCAGGATCTACAGAATAACTATTGGTAAAATACTTAAATAGATTACTTGGGAGGAACTTACAATAACAACTTACATTTATATAGAGCCTTTCTTGAAGGGAGGATGCCTCAAAGCACTTCACACAACTGACTGGGAGCCCAGGGCGGTGGGTGAGAGAGAGCTTACTCGGAGGTTATTTGTACAGATGAAATTTAGGCTGCCCAATTCATGAAGGGGTGGGTGTATGTGGAGTCTCTGTAGTTGAGCTGACTTCAAGGTCACATGCTTGGCAAATTAATGTTACAATTGAGTGAGCCTTCTATGGCTGCAATACTCGTAAGTCACTGCTCATAAGCCTGGCTTGTCAGAAGAACTGGGTGGGGCTGACCAGTCCCAGGAGCCCTCAGCATACAAGTCAAAGCCCCAAAGGATGGGTGGTCTGAGCTGGACTTTGCATGATAAAGTCATAGGCTGAAAATAACACCATAGTGTTTTCACCATGTTCTCTACAAAATGATGCACCCTCATTGAGCCGGATTGAGCTGGAGTTCTGTACAAAACGTGCCTTGAGCAGCAACTGCACAAGACCATTGGAAATTTTTTTCATTGAGAAAGAAGGATTCTTTACAGAATTGTATTTTATTGTAATGTGAGCACAAAGACCCTCCGATGAATATCATAGAAACAGGAATAGACCATTTAGCCCCTTGAGCCTGCTCCACCATTCTATAAGATCATGGCTGATCTGTATCTCAACTCCAATTACCCACCCTTGCCCCATATCCCTTTCTATCCACTTCAGTCTTGAAAATGTGAATGGCTCCATTATCCACAGCCTTTTGGGGAAGAGCATTCCAGATTTCCACTACCCTTTGGGTGAAAAAACAACTCCTGATTTCACTCCTAAATGGCCTAGCTCTAATTTTAAGATGATGCCCCCTTGTACTGGATTCCACCACATTTCATTTAAAATATTAGTTTTAAATTAAGGCCACTCTTCACCATAGTCTGGCAATAATTCTGTTTCTTAACATGTGGAATTAAGATGTTAACGACTCAGATGCATAAAATTAAAGATTAGTATGTCTTCAGTTATTCAAAAAGCTGCTATCCCCCCTTTAAAAAGCATTTTTTGTGTCTTATTAAGATGATGATTCTCAGCGATATATATTTGTACATTTTAACTAATATCAGTATCCAGCAATCCTAGGTACGATTAATTGTAGAATAATGCTCATTCCAACTCTAATACACCACCAACAACTCAGGGAAGTGAATTTTTCGATTCCTACTCTAGCCTTTCTAATGCTGCTTTTACATTGCAGCTCCAGCAGCACGAACTGCAGGTTCAACACTGTCGGTTCACACCTGATCTGTCCCTCTGCAGTTCCTCAGAGACATGACATTTTGCACACAACGGAACATTGTGTAAGTAGCTCAATGATGTCAGATGACCTTGTGTTAATTATCACAATCTGTTACTGAAATAGCAAGTGTCAGGCATCTTTGCTCCTGGATTCCCCCCACCCCTCCCCCACCCCAAGTCTGCTGTTGTTATTTAGGGGGTTGAAGATTGCTTAAAACAAAATAAATTTCCAACTTTGTGCATGAACAAGGTCATCTAACACGCACTTATCACCACGTATGTGCAGACAATTACTGGATCTCTAGACCCTTTTCAAAACATAGTTGGCTCTCCTCTACGCAAAAGTAACAAGAAATCAGACTCCATAAAGGGATCGACCAAATTTGGCACTCGGAAATCCAGCTATTTTTCTTTACAATTTGGTTACAGAGGCAAGCTTTTGTCAGAAGGCTAACTCATAGTATACAAGCAGTATAAGTAGCATTACACAATTTGGCTATTTGTGCTCTAAAGATCCTGCCAAAGGATCCACCCTCAAACACTTTTTCATATAAAACCCTACAAGGCAAACAATCTGTCATCCCATCAGACTCAGTGGATTTCAGAAATTAAAGGCAGGGTTCTAACTCACTACCACTCAAAGTATGCTTGAAATGATTAACTGTTACGTTATGGTTAACATAGTACCTTTAAATCTATATCACTGATGTACTCACCCGCAAATCTAAAATTGCTTTTAAAAAAGCTCCAAGCAACAAACATGGAATAAAACTGAACTTCTATAGAGTTTTCAAACTTTATATAATGTATGATGATATTTTTCTTATGTTAATGTATAATACATGAAGGATAATATGGTTTTTATTGCATATAATATTGTCCTTTGGGTGTTTCTTAATCTAAGAAGTGCTCATTAATAATCTGTGTTTAGCCAATAATAAACAGTTGATGAACAATAACTTTCTGTATACTAGACAATAACTTTCTGAGCCTGCAGCATTTTTGGGGGTCAGCTGGGTGTCTGACACAAGCGGAATCCCATCTCCATGCTTAAAACCAAGTTGAGATTTCCATGCATCCCACCTGCACATGGAAATCCTAGAGATAGATTGCTGGAATGGAATGCGCACCCTCTCCATGCTTACCTAATTCCAGAAAGTATTGGAATAAGGTACTGGTTGCTGGAGGATAAGGTGCCACTTACAGGCAATGCAGATGCAATTTGTCCGGACTTCTTTAACCCTACTATGCTGTCAGTTCAGCTCCAAGGAGACCTCACTTACCTCTACCCAAGGAGAATAGTCTACACCATCTCATCCCCATCTTTAAAACAAACTCAGGAATGAATAAATACCCCTTTACAGAGCAATCAAATTGATTCTAATATCAGCTTGAAAACATATTGACACTCACCTGGAGTGGTGTTAAAATCAAGAATGCGTTGATGGGACTGTAGCAGATCAGGATTGCTGGAGGATAAGGTGCCGCTTACCGGCAATGCAGGTGCAATTTGTCCGGACTTCTTTAACCCTACTATGCTATCATCCTGAGACTGGCCAATCCCAATATCACTGCAGAAGGCAAAAATGCAAAATTGTTTTATTATTCACAACCCAACATTTACTTCCTTGAAACCTCTATAAGCTTGTACCTTTTGATCCATGTTTAGATAATTATATAGGCACAGTGTCTATTACCTTGTCTTATAGTATTGTATTGCAAAGAACGTATCAGTAAGACATGGCAAGTTTAAGAGACAATAGAGGCTATTATTCAACAGGCTTGTAAACACATTTACAGAGGGAATTACAGTCAACGTAATTAATTAATGAAAATGATGTATCCATTTTGCTATTAACTACCAATCTTTTTATTGGTTAATTACACTATTGTGGGCAATTTAATTCCTCTCATGCACATGAACTGATTTACACATAATATACCTGCATTTACACATGGTGCATAATAGACTTGTGTGCCTCTTGTTTAGTGTTGACATATTTTGACAGGAATTCAAGATTTTCCAAACAGCAAATATTCGTATCCGGATCAGTAAAAATAAATCCTTTAAAAATTATTACAATGTTGTTGTTCTTGAAATGGCAGTGGGAGCCAGGTGTGTGTGGGGAGGCAAGGGCTTCCTATTGCTTGGTGTCTAGGCTTAAATATGAAGAGTGGCCACTTGTCTGATGAAACAGAAGGTTGATGCTACTAAACAACTCACCACTTTACAAAAAGATGAAGTCAGGGGGAACATCAGAAAAGCGCTTTTGTTCACTCAAGCCCTATAGAGGTCCTACAATTGTTTTATAAAATAGTTAGTGACTGAACTTGAAGCAAATAGTGTGGTTACTAAGTTCGTTTTCAAAGTCTATGGTTTAACAAGGACTTCTGAACTATTTCATCATACTTAGCTGGTTAAACTGCTGGATTCACCTACTTTACCCCAATTTAGGTTTAGCTAATTGGTTCGGCATTGAAACTGTATTTTTGGTAACGTTGAGATGGGACACTTCATGTGCATGAAAGGAATTAAGTGCCAAAGATGCAGCACAAATGTGTGTTGTGACTCACTGAAACTCTTAACGTATCAATAACTTGTAACTTTAAAAAAATCGTTACCATAGTTAAAGTAACTTACTATGATCTCACTACATCAAATGTAAATATTGTATTTTATAAAAATGGTAAATGTTTAGCACTAGAAAAAATAGATGAGAGACCAGAGATCAAAACTCATTGGATATTAATTAAGAAAATCAGTTGCCAGAGGCAGGAACAAACAACTGTTTTGATGCTCAATGAGAGAAAAGCAATAAAAAAAGCTCTGAGGCCCACACTGGGTGAAAATATACCATCTATTATCAGATGAACGTTTTGGGTGATTGATCGGAAGATATTAATAGTCACCAAGTTGTGATGTTTGGAGACAGAAATTGATTAGTGTGTGGCACTAAGAGAGAAAATGTACTTGGCACTGTATTTTTATTGTACTCCCTGAATAGAAATAAAACCAGATCAAGTTAACAACAGCATATGATATTAATAAAGCCCCCTTCATAAATTACTTTAAAAGTTTAGTTCTGCCTCCTACTTCCTGGGATCCAAAATGTAGATTTAATTCTCTCTAAAACGAGCTCCTCAAATGACTCGGCGAGTTCCAGTAAAAAGCTCTGCCACCTTGACCGGAAATATTCTGGATTTGATCTCTGCTCCATGCTGATTTAGTTAGATGATATATAATTGTCTTCAGGGCCCAGTATTAGCAAGGGAAATTTTATCTGATAGCGTTTTTATTTAAAGTCATTATCCCAATGACACATTTTGCATTGTGTGTGAATATCATTCAAGGGCACGATTTTGGGCTCATTTATTCTCCCCACCCCAAAGCTGAATTGCCTGCTGACAATCACAATCAAGATTTACATATGAAGATTGGTTACTTATGGCAAAGTACTCAAGGATAACTACCCCTAACAAGTAGTCACATGGTTAGGAAAGGAGATGAAGAAAAATGAGTGGTGATTCAATGAAGAATGTTTATGTTATTTATGTTGTAATATTTATTTGTGAACAAATCAGAAAGATTCGTCAAAAACATTTTCCATAGGTCCCCTTAACATCTCTGTCTCAACCTGGGAGTCATTTTGTACCATTGATAGCCCTATGAAAAGAGAAAAATAATGTCTAATAAGTTTTGGAGACAGAAAAATGTACAGAACTGGAAAATCACAATCTGACCAATCTCAAAGCAATTGATATACAACATGAATTGTCTGTTGTAGGCTGAATTCAGAAGTAAGTCTGTATGTGCAGAAGTGAAAACCTATAGCATTAAGCTCATGAAGGTAATATTCTGAGTACTTACTCTAATGATAATGATAAGAAAGGAACTTCTCAATGGTGAGATTTACCACTTGAATACATAACTTTAATTAAGAAGAAAAACAGGTCACCTAGAAATTTGTAGGTTAATGTGCTATCAACTCGCTCAGATAAATTAATGATATGATTCATTAAGATTTGACTGAAACTACTATATCCCAGGTTACAGAGTCATTTTATTAAATACCGACACTATCTTTAATAACTATTCTACAATGTATAAAAGCTCCATATAAGTATTTCTAATTTTGGCAATGAGGCAGATGGGTTTGCTAATTAATCTGTAAATTAAAGTGGGCATGCAACTCATAATCATTAGCAGTCTGATAGGTCTTTTCTTTCACAAAAACAAATATTGTACTCAAAAATCACCATTGATATAATGATTGTGTTGAATTGTATAGTAATTACTTGAAAGTGGTACAAACTGATGCCTTTTGAGTTCACTTTGTGCTGTACAACTATACATGGCAGGATACAACGGGAAAAAAACTGAAGAAATTAAGTATAAAGGGTAGTGAAATAATAAAAATCAATTCACTGGAGTTAAGTAACATGATCGGAGGGTGTCTGGCTACAGGAGCTTATTACATAAATTAATTTAATAAAATAGCATGCGCAGACATTAATATTTAAGTATGTAGGAATGCATCTCAAAGTAAAAACACATCTTAGGATTCAGAGGATATTGATAAACCACTAAAGATTTGATCTTACTATTTGTGAACACCTTAATGTGTTACTGCCTTTGAACATATTCTATGTTATCCTGCATTTATCAAATAGTGTGTGGTAACAGTCACCAAACGTCCACAATTATTGTGAATCTATAATTGAGGGCCTTTTGGCAATAGGCTATGGAGAATGAAAGCAGCCTTTCGTTCCTCCTGTGGCAAAGTTGGAAACAGTGTTTAAACAATGCTACAGGATTTCTTTTATATTTCACTGTACATTGTAAATTCACCCACACGCAATTACTCCACTTTGTAGTATATCTTATAAAGTAGTTTAGAAACATCCTGCCTACGTGAAGGTGTTACACCAAATGCAAATGTTGTTGTAATGAATAATGTTTGTGTTACATCCATGACATACAGATAGAACCCTGTTATATTTCACTTCATTATAACAGGTTTGCTTATAGTTGCAGACACCAACACCTACAAATCCAAACCACGCTTGGTATTTCAATTACTGCAAAACACTGGCGGGTGTGTGGGAAGCCAAACTGGCTAATTCTCGTGTCATCAAGTTGCTGTTAATGTTATTTTCTTTCTGAACAAGCAGTGAATATAGAAGCGTGACAAAGAACTAAGCTCAGATATACCACTGGTTGTGATCGTATAGCTCTCTACTGCATTGTAATGGAGCTCCAATTATAGATGGGTCAGTGAATTTGATACAAATGTAGAAGATTCCCAAGTTGATTGACAATGATGCAGAGAAGAAAGATAACTTACAAAACCCAACAGAAATGTTAAAAAGTAGCCTTTGCAGTTTTCTTCATGAAAATGTAATTGATTTGAAACAAGACTGATGTCTGATATACAAGAATAGTCCAGAATCCAGTTTCTTCTTACTTGGAAATAATCAGACGTTCCTCACAGAGCAAATTGAATATTGTATTTCTAAACAAACTTGATATCTCAATGATACTCTACTGAGTAATCTTGACTGAGCCAACCATAGAGCAAATGGAGTGGAGTCCTACAGTGGAGTCCTGTAGCTCAGTGGTTAGAGCACTCGCTTTGCAAGTGAGAGACCTGAGTTCAATTCCAGGCAGAGGGTGAAACCTTGGGCAAGTTTCCTTACTCCACACAGAGCCTAATAATAATCCCTCCAAAAACCAAAAACAATAATTAATTGGTCATTTTCAATCTACGACTGTTTGTGGGACATTGCTGTGCGCAATTGGCTGCCGCGTTCGCCCACAAATATACAGTCAATTCACTTTGCAGTATGTTCTGTGAAGCGCTGTGGGACGTCCTCCCGACGTGAAAAGCGCTATATCAAATGCAAGGATTATTATTATTATTATTAAATGTACATACAAACACAATCACTTCTAAATTTTTTACTAAAGTCACTCACTTATATGGTTTTTGTGGAAGGATGCTGATTCGAGTCTTGTCCAGTATTTTCTTCAGTTTGTTGCGTCCTGCCACAGTGTTAGCTTTTGCTTTCTTGTTTGCTTTATCTAATCCCATTACATGTTCAACATCCACAGCAAGATCTGGGATGGAGTAACGACTTCCTTTCTTGTCACCAATTTTTGGTAGGTGAGGAGAGCCGTTCCTCTTCTCTTCTGTTAATCTGACCAGAAGCTCTTTAAATACTGCATGGGAGGCATTACATAGAAATACTTTTAAATATCCATAACCAAAGAGACGTCTTCTCAGATTTAAAAGATATTCATTGCATAAGTGATTCCAGCTATAAATTGTAGAATCTTCACAGCCAACATAATCAGAAGCTAGAAGCATTTATTGCACATCATGAGCAACCTACACCTCAAAAGACATTGTGTCTAATTTATGATTGCCATTAATCCAACCGCAGCCAAATTCTGTAATAATTATAAAGAACATTGCGTGTTGAATGCAATGTTGGCTCCACTGATGAAAACCTTTTGAATTAAGTTATAAATTTGATGGTTGTTCATTCATGAAAGCATAAGGCATTCAATTCATCCCTCCAAATATGTTGTAAAATAGTAAGATAGCCAAATATTGCCAAGGGCAGTTTTGTGCTGCGGATGTATAGGAAATTATTTTCAGACTAAACTTAGTTCATGTGTAACCCTTTAAATGAGAATCTTCACTCCATCAATCCAGACTGAATTGAATTCAAGCATCAGAGGTGAAGTGGCTGTTTTAACTCACCGCACATCTTGGTTGGCACAAGGACAGTGCAGTTTCTGTCCCATAACATTTTCCCTTCCCAATTAAAGTATCGAATATGTTGAAATCTGAAACCTACCAAATAAGTTTGTTTTCACAGTGATAGACAAATGAGTATTGTTCCTAAGAATTTCCAAGGCTTTTGATAGCTGAATATTCTCAAAATTCTGTCCGTTAACTTCCATTATCTGAAAAACAAGATAATCATCATTCATTCCTGATTTGAGCTTAAACATTTCTAAGAATCCCACAATACTGTTACAACAGAAAATTGTGATAAACTGTCACAGATTAATTGGGAGAAAAAAGTATGTCATTTGAAATGATAAAAAATGAACTTACACGTACTATGTCTAGTATCTTGTATCTTGTAACGATTGTTAGTACACAGAACATAAGTCATGGTGGCCAACTTTTATATGATAAAAGTAAAACTGATTGGAAAAACTCATAGAGCAACAAAGTTGCACTATGGTGATATTCAGCCATCTCAAATTGAGAAATGTATCAAATTACGTGACTGGCCATGACATATTGTAACAAACATACATTTTCCAATGAAAAAAGTCAGAATCACTGCAGTTTCTGACATCCAGTCACTGGAAAGGATGCACAAGTGCCATATCTTCAAAGTAGTTGCTATGAAAAGAAATTGAGTGAAAGGCCCATGGCTGTGTCAGGTCTCTTCATTTATAAATGTTACATTTTGGTTCGTGATTCTTTTTAATGAACAGGACAACTGTAAGAGTAAAGATAGAAAAATCTAGATAGAAGAGTAAAGATCAGATAGAATGACCTGTGATGCAGCACCACAGAATTGTTTCACTGGAGTAACTTATAATTCTCATAATATAATGCTTCTATGTTATTTTTCTTTTCACCCACTACAAAAATTGTGACAAGATGTTATGTGAATGACTTGTGTTTTTTTAAAAAAAGATTATTTTACCTGGTGAAAGTGCACTAGGCGCAAATGGGTTGATTGCAAACTTATTAGTGTAATAATGCATGTTCAAGAAACCATGTATTTCTGAATTGGAACTGTGTATGCAAGAGACTAAATTCCAGAAAATGACACTGTTCCACAGACAACAGATCTGGGTGTGGATGTTTGTCAATGTCCATACCTATGTATATATTTTGTCGTATATTGCTCAAACCTGATCACCGCGTTTCAATCCAGCTTCGACAGCTTTGCTACCAGGCTCCACACTGTCCATGAAAATCCCAAATCCTTTTTCACTGCCTCCAAGCAGAATAAATGGCAAAGGGGCTTCACGTGATGGCTTCATTAGAGTTACAAGTCTCCGCTTGGCCTTGGCTGCACAGGCGATGTTTAACAGTCTGAGGTGGCCACCCATTTTCTGTATAATGTGCACAAAAACACCCATTCTTGTAATCATTTTAATTAAAATTGGGTATTTTAGAATGAAATGAGGAAAACTACCTTGAAAATAGAATGCAGCAATATATATGTCAACTCACTTCTCGCTCCAAATTATTTTCAAATTCTTCTAGAAAATTCGTCATTGCAGAATCTCCTTCAAAGTCATTGAAGTGATTGTTTACCCACAACAATACTACCCGTGTAACCTGAAAAATAGTTTTATTTTGCAACATAAAATGCAATGTAGACTATGCATACAAGACAAACTACAGTAAAATTTTCATAAGATTTATCTTTGTCAATCGCATAATCGACCAATTCGTATATTTATCAAGTCCCGTTGAGTCTCCGATCAAAACCACTTAGATTTCTTTGCATTAATCATATTAATCACCTCCTAACTTGTAACAACTCCCCTCTATTCTCCATTAATCCCGCATTTATCAACTGCATTGAATCGTGAGAAACATAGGCTTGATCCGTCGCCGTATGGGCAGAAGAACTTAATTTCTCGCAACTCAATGTGATTCCAATGCTTGCTGGTAAGAGAGCATGCAGTGACGGGTCAAGATGCAGTGTATTGCAGGAAATGTAATCTTGACCCATCACCCCATGTGCACTTACAGGCTGCAGTGACAAACTCCCACGTATATACTGTGAAGTGAATTGACTGTATATTTTGTGGGCGAAATGTGGCAGCCAATTGCGCACAGCAGTGTCCCACAAAGAGTTGTGGATTGAAGTGACCAATTATTATTTTTTCCTTTGCAGGAATTATTACCCCCGTAAAAGCGATCTGCCAATTGACTAACAACCGGGTTCCTACTTATGTAAACAGAGGCGTATGGAGTAAGGATACTCGGCCAGCATTTCAATCTGCCATGAATTTAACCCAGATCTCTCGCTTGCGAGGCGAGTGCTCTAACCACTGACCTACAGGATAAGGCGCTATATCAAATGCAAGGATTATTATTATTGATTAAATCGGATTTATACGATTTATAGTTTGTCTGCAACTCGGACTTCACATAAGCCATATTAAATGTTACGGTCCTGGCTCATATGACTTATGAGTTTTATTGTACAATTGGTCCACACAATAAAGAGCACAATGCCCAGACAAATTTGTCTGGATTACTTTGCTTTGTACAATCCCCAATAATTTACCTTTGCCAAGTTAACCACAGTTTGAGGTATTGTCCCATAAAGCAAACTCATTTCAATTTACAAGAAATGAAAGAACAAATGAAGCTTATTGTAACAGTAAAAAACTGGCTGCATCATGTTTCATTGTACAAACTGGAGGAATAAAAAAAACTTAAAAGTTTCGTCTCATTTCATTTGTGGGAAGAAAATGGTTGTTTCAAAGTCACAACTTCCTCCATTGCTGAAAATCCTTTTTAAAAAATGCATTGTCAGTTCCAACAATGAAAGCCTTTTTCACAGGAAATTGGTAGTTGCATGTAAAAAAAATGTATTCTTCTGTCATTTCAATGATAAATATAAAGGCCAGTTCAAGTGGATCCCGTATGACTCCAAGCAGGCCAAGCAGACTGACACCCAGCATTGGGTTTCACTCTCTGTGCCACACAGTGGGATTCTCTACACAATTGGTTTCTAATCTTAGCATAGAAACAGGAGAAGGCTTTTCAGCACCTCAAGCCTGTTACACCATTCTACGAGATCATGGCTGATCTGTACTTCAACTCCAATTACCTGCCCTTATAATGATAAATAATAATCCTTATATTTGACATAAAGCTTTTCATGTCTTCTACAAAGCGCTTCACAGAATATACTGTAAAGTGAATTGATTGTGTATTTTGTGGGCCCTTGCCCCATATCCCTTGATACCCTGACCTAACAAATATCTATCCACCTCAGTCTTGAAAATGTGAATGGATTCAGCATCCTCAGCCTTTTGGGCGTGATAGCTCCAGATTTCCACTACCCTTTAGGTGAAAACTTGCTTCCTAACTTCACTCCTAAATGGCCCAGCTCTAATTTAGGAGTGAAAGGCAGTCAGCCAGTTACTTACTGAACTGCTCCTTAAGGGGAGGGTAAGAAAGGGCACAAATGATAACTGAAAGTCATTGCAACTTCTTAAATGATTCCTCAAGACTGGTTATAGAATGTTATTAGCACATGCTAAGCTGCATTCACCCATGCTCTTATGCAAACAGTGCACAGTCCAGGGTGACATAAAGATGAATTCGAATAACTAAGAATGGATTATGTTTTCAAAAACAGCTGGCTACGTGTTAGACAAACAGCTTGAAACTTCAGCTCTATTACTATTGAACAATTATAGAAAAATACTAGTTTGCAATGAAGATCGTAAGAGAGTGCAATTCTAATAAAAACTTTGGTTCAACATAATTCTTGAAAGTGAGTGTTAAATAATGGATCAAATTAATTGAAGGATTCTAATATCCTAAATTATCTGTTGTACAGGAGTGATAAAACAACTTGGGTCTATTGTACAACAGGCTTAAAGCTGAAATCCAGCTTCGAACTGAAATTGAAAGAATTGCAGCTTTCTTTCTTGCATTAAGAATAAATGATAATCCATGCATTTGATATAGCTCCTTATCACATCATTGAACGTCTCAAATCTATGACAGGATTTACTATAAAGTATAGTGACTGTGTATTCTGTAGGCGAGCACCACAGTCAATTTGCACACAACAATGTACCTCAAACAGCCATGAAGTGAATGCCCAATTTTATCTGGAAGTTTGGCTAGGATACTGGGAGAAACTCCCTTCTCTTTTCAAATAATGTCATGGGATTTGTAACATCCACCTGAATAGAATGGAACCTTTGTTTAACATCTAATCTGAAGAGTGGCATCTTCAACAATGCAGTTGGAGTGCAGTTACTATGTAGTATATATACTGTAGTATGATCACAATGTAGGTTAACGCAGCATCCAATTTGCCTACAATAATGTTCCATAAACAACTACAAAGTGGAGTGAATGACCAATTTTATCTGAAGAAATATTTGTCGTAACATCAGGAAAAATTCAAATCTCCATTTGAATAGTGCCCTGGGATCTTTAATGTCTACCTGAACAGGCATACATGACCTCAGTTTAAGGACTTATCCAAAGGAAGTCACTTTTGGCAATGCAGTGGAGTAACAGCCTAAACCATGAGCTCAAAGGCACAAAGTGGGGCTTGAACCCATGACCATCTGACTCAGAGGAGAAACTGCTACCAAAAGACATAGGCTACAACCCAAACACTTAAGAACACAAACAACTCTGTCTAGAATTCTTGAAGCTTCAAATGCAACACAAATCCTGGAAAACTGTTTGTGTGCCTTGTATTTGTGTGTGTGTGTGCATGAATCGTGGAAGTAAACATCAGCAGAATGCTAATCATTTAAAACTAATTATTACAATTCAGATTACAATTAAAAAATAAGTTCTGAATCAAAAAGTACATTTATAGCTTTGGCTAACCTTGTCCCTGAGACTAGGATCATTGAACCACTCTAACAGCTTTTTCCCAACTTCCATTGGACTTGATAAGAAGGTTCGGAAGGTTAAAAGAAAATCTTCTATGTATGTGGGGTCCACCACAGAGTGCTCTTCCACCAGGTGCATGGTTAACCGTTCAGGTGTTCCCTAATACAACAGAACATGTAGTTAGTAAAACTAGACAGTGCTACAGGGATAAAAACAATGGACAAGAGATTCATTTATTTTAGGGTACATTTCTCAAGTACTTCAAAATATGCTGATTTACCTTGATAACTATGTGTCCTTTACGAGTTCCAGTGCGATCCAACTCTCTATGCTCCTTTACCATCACTATCTCTCCCTCCTCCTCAACTTTCTGCATATTCTTCTCCACCTGATTTAGGATTCGGCAGTAGTCCTGCTGAGCTATGCACACAAACTACCAAAGAAGACAGAAGATGTCACAGGATTATGGATATGCATCACATTTAGGTTATAACAGATCCAATTTGCCTGATTTATTCAGTTCTGTGAATTGAGGTTATTTTCCTGCAATTCTCACTCCTTGAAACTACCCCATTCATAGCTTCAAAACATTACATTTTAATAATAGCTTGGGAATCTGCTTTAAATTTTTAGCTCCACGACTCAATGGGCTCTAAAAAAAAATGCTTTAACGATGGCCGTACAATAAATAACCGAAACACATACACATTTAGCCTGTTGCTAAATGTATGGAATTGAAGATTCACTCTAAGAGAACAAATGCAATAGTTGAATTGATTTTTTCCCCCTAACGTTGTGTCAAAGAAATCAATAAAATTTATATTTCTTCAGGTTCAAAAATAAAATGTTTCTAAATAGCACACGGAAGATTCAGTCAGCAACCCTATTTTGGAAGGAACTCTCGATGAAACACTAATGGTCGGTAGAGCCCTAACTGATTATTTTGTCTCTTCCTTTGTTTGTGATTTCTCACTCTTCAAACGCTTTTTAGATTCTTTCTTCCATCGTTTTAAAAGGTGTGCTGTGTGACACAAACCCAGCAATCACCCCAATCAGGGTGTATGTTCTCCATTTCCAATAGACTGCATTTGCAAAAAGGCACCCTTTGTTTGCATGGTCTAGAGAGCAATGGAAGGGATTATAAATAGATTTAGGAGACTGGAGGAATTGAGAAAATAATCTGATCAATTTTGTTTTATTCGTGAGGGAGAAAACAAGACAGGAGAGGGAAATCTACTTAACGTGTTTTTTATTTCAGATTTCAAGCATCTGCAGTATTTTGCCTTTTTTTCAGTTTTCTTTGTTTCCACTGTTTTCACTGTTTCCCGCTAATAGCCAGTTTACCATAAAATTAGAAATGTATCATATGAAGGTAATTATCAGGTTTTTAAAAAATTAAACTCAAAAAGAATACCACAATCTTTGAACATGTGTTCGCCATTATATTTGCTCCTAATTTACAACTTCAATTTACACTTAAGTGGTTTTTAATTTAGTACTTGAACACTTTGGGAGAAAAGGGAAAGCTTCCTCATTATTTAGTATGGAGTACAGAAACATTCTTCATGCTTAAGTCACCCTCATTAAAATCAAAATTCATGAGACAAATTTGTCTAAGTGCAATATCTTAACGTTACTTTTATCTGTAACCACTTAGACTTTATTCCAAATAGGAACCTGCAGTTCATTTGTTATTTTACATGACTGATTTCATTCTCCCACCTGCACACACAGATAAAGTCAATTACACATCCAATATCTCTAAAGAGCACATTACTAGGTTTACAAGGTTTTAACGAGCTTATAGTTTATAGCAATTCCTGCAGCATCCTGGCATTCACTCACAAATATACAGTCAATTTACTTTTCAGTACATACTGTGAAGCTCTTTGAGAACAACAACAACAAAATTACATTTATAGAATGCCTTTCACGTCGGGAGGATGTCCCAAAGCGCTGAAGTCAGGTGTCGGTGCCCGAGCATGGGGGAGGGAGTGTGGTGTAGGAGTGAGGGAAGGCAGAGAGGTGGGAGGGAGACCAAAGGCACGGTCAAAGGGAAAGGTCTTGAGACTGACCCTGAAGGAGGCAAGGGAGGAAGCGAGGGGAAGGGACCATGGGATGGAGTTCCAGAGTGTGGGGGCAGAGAGGCTGAAAGCCCGGCCACTGATGGTAGGGCGGGTCGGGCAGGAGACATGGAGCAGACCGGAGCCGGATGAACGGAGGTAGCGGGCTCGTAGGGAGTCAGCAGGTCAGAGAGATAGAGGGGGCGAGGCCATCGATGGCCTTAAAGGTGAGGATGAGGATCTTGAACTCGATCCTCTGGGGGATGGGGAGCCAGTGGAGTCGGGTGAGGGTGGGAATGATGGGGTCACGGAGCCTGGTACGTGAGAGTACACGAGCTGCAGAGTTTTGGATGATCTGCAGCTTGTAAAGGGAAGAGTTGGGAAGGCCGATGAGGAGGGAGTTCCCGTAATCAAGCCATGAGGTGACGAATGCGTGGGTGAGGGTTTCAGCAGTCTGAGGGGTGAGGTAGTGGAGGAGTCTGGCAATATTGCAATCTAGAAGATGTGAAAAGCGCTATATCAAATGCAGGGATTATTATTATCTCCCCGAGTTTGAAAACTGGAACCGTAAGATACAACCACAAGTGCAATAACATATCCCCAACCTTGCAAGTTAGGTCATAGTGGCTTGGGCAATCCTAGTTGGGAAAGTACAATGCTCCACAGTTACTAAAGGTATTTCAAGTATTCTGTAAGAAAAAGGGGCTTAAGACAATACTTCAAACAAATATAAACCATTACCTGACAGTCATCAGCTTTGGTTTTCATCACACCCTTCATGTATTCTTTGTCAAGGGTAGGTGAGACACCAAAGCTGTTTCCCATGCATAGTATTTCCAGCCTTCCATCAGGGTAAGTAACCTCAACTGAACCATTTAAAATCACTGACCAGGAATCCAACTGGAACACAAGACATTAGGGCATTTTAATAAGAATTTTAAGAATCTAAGCAGCAAAAATATATTTTTGTATGTTTAGATATTTTTAAAAATCATGTAGATTAATTAACAAGCTTCATTTCATCTCCTATACAAATCAAGTTCAAAAAGTAAACCATTTCAAATATCAGAATATACAGTTCCCATTCCTTCTTTAGGTTTCAGAGGATTTCGTTCATCTAAGTAGCCAGCTCAACAGCTTCACTTGAAAGGCTTTTAGCTCATTGTATGTTTGATACCATGGCGAGCGCACCTTAACTACACTATGGGATTTAAGGATTTTTACAGGGTCAAATACAATGGATGTTTGACATGGTAACCAGTGCTGTCAGAGATACAAATCAGATGATGGAATTGCTGAAGTGGTACTGTCCAGTGTAATTTGCATCCCTCCACCTTCCAAACACATACTGAGACTAGACAGCCAGCACAATGAAAGTGAGAGAGATGAAAAAATTACTTTTAACAATGTTAAGTGATCGTTAGGGTAGGAAGCGAAGGAACATTTAAAAAAAAATGGCCGGGGTAACCTTGTAGTTCAATCTGTACGAAGAAAACTGATTTTCAATCAGAGTATATTACTGGGAAAGAATGTGAATGATGAAACAAAATACGTTTGCCAAGTTTCCTTCATTCTTAACAATCCATTTGTTACGGTTCAGCCACTATTCAAGCTATATTTAGAGGTAAGCCACAGTACCTTATGCCTTTCACTCTTCACAATGTAGAATTAGCAAAAAATCTGTTCTTTATTCACCAACAAAGAGTACTCAGATATGCATTTTAAACTATCAATATTCGTAAAATAATAATAATCCTTGCATTTGATATAGTGCTTTTCACGTCTTCGAGATGTTTCAAAGCGCTTCACAGAATATATTGTAAAGTGTATATTTGTGGGGCAAAACACGGCAACCAATTGCGCACAGCAGTGTCATGAATCAAGTGACCAAATTATTATTGTTCTTTTTAAAGGAATATTATCCCCGGAAAAGCAATCCGGCAATCCACTAACAACTGGGTTCCTACTTACTGCTAGGTAAACAGAGGCGTGTGGAGTAAGGAAACTTGGCCAACATTTCACCCTGCCGGGAATTGAATCCAGGTCTCTCGCTTGCGAGGTAAGTGCTCTAACCACTGAGCTACAGGACTAAATATCTGGAATGTTAACACTATCAGGTCTTTCAGTTGGATAAGAGAGGTACAGAGGCACCCACTTTTGATTTTAATGTTTTGTACCGTGACAGGTCCATAAAATGAAGGATAATTGGAAACATTGATATTAAATAATCTCTGATTAAAATAGTTTAGTTTGTCGTGTTAATTGCAACATCCGATTTGCAAAATTCAAGGCAAAGTGCAAATCCCCAAGTTGGCAAAGTCTAACAAAAAGCCAACGAGGAAAACATTGGCGGGAAACTGCTGGCTGTTTTGCGGACTTTGTTGAAGTGTGATTCAGTTCGCTGACTATAAAATTATCTTGAATTTCTCAAACTGGAAGTTGCAATTAAGGCAACAAATCTGATTTGCAAATATCGCGATGTTCCGAATCCCACAAATTAGGATTTGTAGACTTGAAGCTGGAAATTATAGATTAGTGAGCTCAGCAAGTATTATGGAGAAAAGCTTGAAAAGCACTAGACAGAAGGCTGTCAATACTCATCTAATAGTGTGCTTATATTGAGTTCTGAAAAATCCTGGGCTGGCTAGTATTGTGGAATTCTTAAAATGAACAATGCCTATAGATAACCAAACTCACTGATCCATACTTCTCAGTTAAACAGGGTCAATACAGAACCTGCCATAGTACTGCATGTATGTATGTATGCGGATGACACCCAACTCTACCTTTCCTCCTCTACCCTCAACTCCACGACCACCGATGTCCTGACAGCTGCCTGTCCGACATCGAGTCCTGGACGAGAGACGACTTTCTTCAGCTCAACGTGCGCAAAACTGAGGCCTTCCTGATTGACTCACGTCAGCGCCTCCGCACCTCAGGCGCTGACAGCATCAGCATCCAAGGCTGCACTCTCTACCTCTCAAAGCCAGTCAGGAACCTCGGGGTTCTGTTCGACCCTGAGCTGTCCTTTCTCCCTCATATCCGCGCCACAACTGGCACCGCCTTCCATCACCTCCGGAACATCGCCAGACTACGGCACTACCTCACCCCTCACGCTGCTGAAACTCTGGTCCACGCCTTTATCACCTCAAGGCTGGACTATGGGAACTCTCTCCTCGCCGGCCTTCCCGCACCTCCCTCCACAAGCTGCAGGTCATTCAGAACTCTGCAGCTCGTGTACTGTCCCGCACCAGGCTTCGGGACCACATCACTCCCACCCTCGCTCACCTCCACTGGCTCCCCATCCCCCAGAGCATCGAATTAAAGATCCTCATCCTCACCTACAAGGCCATTCACGGCCTCACTCCCTCCTACCTCTCCGATCTACTATCCCCCTACCTACCTGCCCGTACCCTCCGTTCCTCTGGCTCCGGTCTGCTCCACATCCCCCGCCCCAACCGCCCTACCATCGGTGGCCGGGCCTTCAGCCTCTCAGCCCAGAGGCTCTGGAACTCTATCCCCCAGTGCTTTCGCCGCCTCCTCCCTTTCCTCCTTCAAGGCCAGTCTCAAGACCTTTCTCTTTGACCGTGCCTTCAGCTCCCCTCTCGACTCTCTACCCCCTCCTCGTTCCTCCCTTCCCTCCCCTCACCCTGACCATTTCCCCCTTACTCGGGTCCTGACCCAACTGTACAGCGCCTTGGGACGTCCTCCCGACGTGAAAGGCGCTCAATAAATGGAATCTTGTTGTTGTTGTACTGCTTCTATCTGCTGAGGACCATTTCAGATTCAGTCTAAGTTTATTCATCTCATAACATACACTGTAAAATTTGAAATTTAGAAAGGAATCATGATCACTGAAATGATTCAGAATTAACAATAATCTTTTTCATTGTTGTTAATTGCATTAAATTAAAGATAACTGTAAACCCCTTTATACCGTTTCCACAATTTACATAACAGACCCAACATCAGTTTTGTAGATACAATGTGACTTTATCTTGAAAGATAGGAAGGAAATATATTTAAAAGGGTAAACCACTCATTCGAAGGTGCACTTAGTTTTCCACAATTCTTATTTTTAAAAGGTTATCTCAATCTTATCAGAAATGGGTTATCAGGTTCAGTGGAGCTGGAACAGTATGCATCTGTATAACATTGCTTTGACAAGTCAAGTGTTCCTGACTGCATGGATTCCCAATCCACCCTCTTTCAAACTAATTCAGTCTAAAAGAGGAAGATGAGCCAAGATTAATGGGACATTAACCATAGATCATTGAATTAAAATTTAAATATTTTACAAGTGACAAACACTTCAGAGAAGATTGTTATATTTTGAAATGCACATAGACAAAGGAAATCTCTGTCTGTATGCATTAGTGCACAACAATGCAACTTTCCAATTGGTGTATCAGGGATCAGAATGCAGCAAATTAGGTTGTAAATACTCACCTCTTCACCATCATTGAGTACTATGGTGCCTGCTCGCTCCACCACTGCAAACACCATCACAGCACAAAGCTCTCTTCGGACTGACATTGTCATGTTAGCAAAAGCTGGGAGCTGATGCATGAATTCCAATAATTGCTCTGCATGGAATAACAAAACATTGAATTAGATTTGTGGAAACAGCAGCTCTCAGCAGCTATTTGCACAGCTATTTTCTTCCAGGTCCCCAGGGCCTATGTCACGTACACTCTCTGCATGTAAGTCAATGTAAAACTCTTGTCCTTTAAAACTCCAAGTGATGCACTATTTTAGGTTCTAATTTATTACAATCCACAATGAATTCCTGGTAAAAGGATGCTTTTCCTCTGCCATCTTGGAAAATACAACAACTGCAAAAACTATACGCTGCAAAAAGTCCATTCTCTGGTGAAGGCATCATTGACTTCTTTTGGTTATGCATTTATTTTACCAAATCTTAATATATTTCTAATAATATAGGAAAGCATGGAAAAAGGAAAAGAGGCTTTAGTCTATCAAGCTGACACCTTCTGCAGACCACAGAAAACCCAACAGATCTCGCAGATGAAAGTACCATACACCTCTTAGGCTGATAAGGGCATAAAGGAAACATTCCAGAATATTCTTTCCTGCCACTCAATCCTAGTCTGCCCCCTCGATAGACAGTACCTCCTTTCTCCCATTCCTCTCAGAAGCAGAAATTAACATTTTTATTGTTGAATTATTTACATCTTTGACTTCCTCTGTATTTCCATTTTTCAAGCATCATAGACACCAAAATCATACTACATGTAAATATTCTGAATATATAACAGCAAAGCAAAAGTAATAATCCTAATAATTTGATATGCAAGGATTATTATTAGGATTATTACTATTGCTTTGCTAAACTATTATATATTCAGACATACAGTATAATGTTGGTGTCTGTATCATTCTGTATTGGGACCACTGCTGTTTTTGATCTATATAAATGTTCTGGACTTGGGTATAGGAAGTACAATGTCCAGTTTGCAGATGATACTTAGCAAGGAAACGTAGTAAACAGTGAGGAGCATTGTAGCAGACTGCAAATGGACATAGACAGATTGGTAAAATAGGCAGACACGTGGTAGATGGAGTTTAATGTGGAGAAATGCAAAGTGATGCATTTTGGGAGGAAGAATGAGGAGCGGCCATATAAGCTGATGGTACAATCTTAAAGGGGGTGAAGGAACAGAGAGACCTGGGGGTTCATATCAGTAAATCTTTGAAGGTTACAGGACAGGTAAATAAAGCTGTTAAAAACGCATATGGGATGCAAGGCTTTATAAAGACTCCGCCACTACCTCACCCCTCAGGCCGCTGAAACTCTTTTTCATGCCTTCATCACCTCCAGGCTCGACTATGCAAATGCTCTGCTTGTCAGCCTTCCCAACTCCTCCCTCCACAGGCTGCAGATAATCCAGAACTCTGCAGCCCGTGTCCTCTCCCGCACCAAACTCCATGACCCCATCTCCCCTATTTTCGCCCGACTCCATTGGCTCCCTGTCCTTCCGAGGATCCAGTTCAAGATCCTGGTCCTCACCTACAAAGCCCTCAATGGCCTCACCCCACCCTACCTCAGTGACCTCCTAACCACTTACCAACCCGCCCGCTCCCTCCGCTCAGCCGGCTCTGGCCTGCTCCATGTTCACCTGATCCACCCACCCCCCATTGGTGCAAAGGAGATTTACCAAGATGATACTAGGAATAACTGACTTCAGTTATCAGGAGAGGCCAGAGAAGCTAGGATTATTCTCCTTGGAGAAGAGAAGGTTAAGAGGAGACTTAATAGAAGTTTTCAAAATTATGAGGGGATTCGATAGGCTGAAGAAAGAGAAATTATTTCCACTAGTGGGTGGGTCGGTAACCTGAGGACACCGATTTAAAATAGTTGTTAAAAGAAACAGAGAGGAGGTGAGGAGAAAACACAGCAAATTGTTCGGATCTGGAATGCATTGCCTAAAAGGGTGGTGGAAGACAATTTGATAATAGCTTTTAAGAGAGAAGTAGATAATTATTTGGGGATGACAAGTTTGCAGGGCTATGGGGAGAGAGCAGGAGAGTGGGATTGAATTGGATAGCTCTTTTGAAAGAGCCAGCGCAGATACGGTGGGCAGAAAGGCCTCCTTCTGTGCTGTATAATTCTACGATTCTACGATATAGCACTTTTCACATCTTCGAGACGTCTCAAAGCGCTTCACAGAATAGTCTGTAAAGTGAATTGACTGCCAGGTAAACAGAGGCATGTGGATTAAGGAAACTTGCCCAGCATTTCTCCCTGTCGGGAATAGAATCCAGGTCTCTCACTTGTGAGACAAGTGCCCTAACCACTGAGCCACAGGACTTACAGTACTATAGTACTTAAAAAGAGACAATAATTAATCTTGGAAACTATCAGGCATCAACACTAAAGAGATCACTGTAAGCAGTAATCTCCATTTTAACCTGACAATCCAACATCTTAATTACAACATCATGGTTTATCATATCTCATGCCACCCATCAACTCATGTTATTTAGATTAAATTGTGAAAATAGCTGAGATACAGCGATGTACTCTCTACTCCATTCAACAAGGATTAATTCTTTATAAGTACCAGGCCCACATATAAAAAGTAACTTCTTACTTCGCAAATAAAGATAGCTGACCATAGTTTAAAATATACTGTTGAACAATTCTGGTCCCTGAGATGAAGAAAAAAGATCGAATATTTCCCTAAAATGGGTCATCTCATACTATCTCTATAGAACGTATGTTCTCAATTAATTTAAAACGTGTTCTCCTCATCTTCATTTGAACATAAGATTTCAAGTGGCCTCCGTCCAATTTCAGGTTCACTCACCAATATCATCGTCTGTTCTATCGATGGGATCTTTCTCCAGGCAGTCTCGGACAATATCCCTACTCATCAATGGATCTGATGCTCTCTCAATATCCTCTTCGTCATCATCATCTTCAGAGTCTACTGCAGTCTCTGGCAAGCCACTTAGGTCCATGTCCCCAGGTTCACTCTCTGTGGCCTTAAGATAGAAAAGATACATTGAGATCAACAATAGCATTGACACAATGGTACGTCTCTGAAAACAAATCTTGGCTCATGCAAATGCTACAAGAACATTTTAAAAGCTTTAGATTATGAACCTCACATTAAAATACCGTAATCAGCTCTATGCTGATTTGTATCTTCCGAGACAAAGGCAGTGACTGTGCTCCATGATATTTCTCTTCTTGCCATTTCTACAGCATATAATTAATAAGATCATGTTCATCCATTAACTTCAATAAGGCTTTAATAGATTGAAACTTGCACTGCTAAAATTGCCTGCGCAGACTCCAGGCAGTCTATGAAACTACAACCAAAACAAGGCAGAGTACTGAATGTAGCCATCTGTACCATACTAAAATAAAGAAGAAACAGTCTTGAAGTCTGTAATATGTTGGTGATCGCCTGGCATTGTAAAAGTTCTCTGGAACTGGTGGAAAGCTGTTCTGTTTAAAATGTAGTGAGCTATGGACAATCTTCATTAAGTTGTTTCACAGTGAATTAAATACCATAAAATTCATAACTTAGGTCTTTGGATCACAACTTCCCGCCTTCAAAAAAGGTTCACAGGAGGACCATATAGATGATTGTAAAGATGCTAAATGGGATAGAGAAGGTAAACCTGGAATAATATTTTCACAACTGCCAACAGAACAAAAGAACACAAATTCACAGTTATTATGCAGGGCAATTTTAGGACAGATGTATTCTTTACATAGAGGGTAATTAACATCTGGAACTGCTCTTTCCTCATCTAAACCTCTCGTATTCTTGTGAGCTACTTAGCAAAAATTAATTCCTCTCTTGCTTCCGCATCAATAAGCAGCCGTTTGGTTCACTCTAAACCATAACACTATTTTACATCGCCAGCATGCTGGAAATCTCCATGCACAATTTATTCCACTAGAAATTAAAAACAGGAAAACTCCAACTTCATTTTTCATGCTCAATAGGCCTTGGACATAACAGAATTGTTTTTCTCCAATTTTAAAAAAAATTGTTATACAACCATGGTAAAATCTTTCTCTCATGTGCACAATTGTTCTAAGTAACATTTTACTGGAACTTGTTTTTGCCTTCCTGGCTTTGTTAGTAGAATTAATGCTAAAGGACACACAACTTTACAAGATCGCGGCATATAACACTGCTGTTTTACCCCAGTAACCAAGTGTACAGGTTCAAACAGGATAAGTCCAAAACACTGACAGTCCAGCACCTTGGGACGTCCTCCCGATGTGAAAGGTGCTATACAAATGTAATTTTGTTGTTGCTGTTGTCGTTGATGTGTTAAGTGTGAAACGTTAAAAAACTGTAATAATAGGCATTCACCAGAGATTAGGTACACAATGCTTTGCGGTCACATAAGACTTAAAGAAATCCTTCCCTCTAGATATTTCACTCCCTTTACTTCCGTATGGTTCCACAGGTGCAGGCCCCAACAGCCATTATTCATTGTGAACATTGGCAATGAATTTTGCCAGGCTTTTTTTTTTGTTGACCACAAGGTGTATGGCAACCAAACCCAATCCTGGTTTCTCAATTATCTTCACCCACCCATCTCTAATGGCCGTTGCTCAATAGCAATAAGGAACAGAAAAATGGTTGATTTTCTCTTTCCTAACTTGAAATGCTATGGCCAATGTAGCTCAACCTGAGAGTAGCTAACTTGCTCACAGTGTCTTGGCAGAGGCCTAGAATTCTACCCAATCTCTTGACTGCAGGTGTGGGGAATCTATAAAACCTAAGTGATACAAGACTCACGAAAATAGAAGCAAAGCATCTGAATAGCATCAATTTTATAACAACAAGTTTGCCAATGAAAAAGGATGAGTAAATTTAATGGTATTTGTCCAGCTAGGACCACAATCACTTGGATTACCAAGAGTTCCAACTGAGACAATCTAACATTCAGTTCGGCAATTCTTCCTCCCTCTTCCCCATCTCATTGTTCTAAAGAATTTAAACATATAAATGCTGTATTTTACAGTAAAACTCATATCAGTCTGAGTTGCAGGTGAACTGTAAAAATTGTACAAAAAATCTGATTAAATCAATAATCTACACTGAGCCTGCGTAATTTACTATAACCGGTAAATGCCCATGTGGTGACAGATCAAGACTACAGTTCCGGCGATTCAATGCAGTCGGCTGGTAAGTGCGCATGCATTGATGGGTCAGGACGTCATCTCCCGTGATTCGAGGCAGCCAGGGTAAGGCAGTAATGGAGGGTGGGGGAGCAGCGTTACAAGTTAGGAGATGATTACTACGAGTAGTGCAAATAACTCTCAACGGTTTTGATAGGAACCTGAATGGGACTCGGGTGAACGTACGATTAGGCGATTATATGATTTATAAAGATAAGATTTATGAGAGTTTTACTGTAATAATAAACCCTATTTTTTATGTCAGAAGAGCATCTAAAAGCACTTCATTGGATTTACTGTGAAGTGTAGTGCCTGTATTTTATGGGCAAACAGCAATATTCCACTAAGTCATGAAGTGAATGACCAAATTTATCTAGGGTAGTGTTGGCCAGGCCGGGAGAAACTATTTTTGAGTAGTGCCATGTGATGTTTAACATAATAATAATAAGAATCCTTGCATGTTAGTGCCTTATCACGTCTTCGAGACATCTCGAAGTGCTTCACAGAATGCATTTTAAAATGTCTTGACTGTATATTTTTTGGGCAAAACAATTATCTAAGGAGGCAACCTGGTTTAAGTCTCATTCTGCCGAGCTTTAAGTAGTGCTGGCAGGTAAACAACCACTTGAATAGCAGAGTGTACCTTGATTTAACGACTCATTCGAAAGAAGGCACCTCCAACAATTACAGCACCTCCACAGCACTGCAACATAGTGTGAGTTAAAGTCCGATGTGGGCTTGAACCCACAACCTTCTCACTCAAAGGCAAGAGTGCTCCCAGCTGAGCCATTTAAACAAAAGAATGACTGGTAATATTTCTTAAATCAACAAGCTTGATTCAACGCAACTATATATGATAACTTTTGGTTCTGAAAAGTTAAAATTGGTATTCGTGACTTGAATCTGAATTTTGATCAACTTGCTTCAATATCTCAAAGCATGAAAACCATCTACCATGAAAATGGAATATTTAAATGATGTACCATTATATTCTATTTTCCCATATCTTTTAGCTAAATTTAAAAAATGGTAAATACAGTACTTTAATCTACTTTGTTCAGGCTGCATACTGGTGAAGTCTGTTGCAATGCCCTTCAATATAATGCCTCCTCCTTGTTCCCCAAGTCCTTCGCTCCACCCTCGGCGGCCGTGCCTTCAGCCACTACACCCCGAGGCTCTGGAACTGCCTTCCTCACTCCCTTCGCTCCCTCTTTTCCTATTTTCAGGTCTCTGCTGAAGACCTTTCTTTTCGACCGTGCCTTTGGTCACCTTCCTCCCCCTCCCCCCCGCTCGGCCCCGGGATCCGTAACTGTGAAGCGCTCTGAGATGCCGTCCGGCGTGGAGGGAGCTATATAAATCCAAGTTGTTGTTGTTGTTGCCTTGCTTATAAGTGAGATAGGTGACCATCGATATTTTGTGACGTCAAAGCAGGAAAATCCTGTTACTGTGGGAATAGAGTGAGTAGGTTACGAAACTTATGCAAGTAAATTAGGTTGGGGACTGAGATTAGTGCAAGTAGGTTAGGTTGAGCACGGTGAGAATAGTGCAAACAGTGCATTGGGGTAGCGGCTGGTTTTCCACATGAATGGAATGACCCGGAAGCTCTGTCTGGCAGAAGCTGTTTTTGCGTGTTCGTTTACAAGTTCAAATGTTCAGCATCCCAACCACCAAGTTAAAATTGGGTCCCTACGTACTGTGATGTCCCTGCTCTCACCAATGACATTTTAGCTCTTCCTAGCGACTTAATTTTTTTCACACATGTAATGACTCACAAATTAAACTACTTTAAGCATTTTGATCTCAAGGATCTAACACAGTCTTTCCAAATACAAATCAATCTGGTTGCATTGACGAGGAAAACAAGACGAGAACGATGCCCACAACTAACCTGCTATTGTTTTCTGGACATTAAATAACCTGTTTAATTCAAACAGCAAAGCAATCTTTAAGGACAGCTAAAATCCACTGTAAAATCCATTACTTGGATAGCTCAAAATAGTTCCACGTCTTTCTGTCATGTCTATGTGTGAAAACAGAAACTGTCAGACAACAGATGGGAAAGGTTTTCTTCCTACTGTGAGGCATTAGAGAGGGGAAAAAAAACATTAAATCTCCGATGGTAATTAGGTCATATTGGCTTCATTTTAACCTGCTCTCAATCTGAACTGCTGCAGTTGTACTGCAGATAAGGAAAACGATACAACGACAACAAGGTTGGATAGGTTTTTAAATATTTTTTGGGGGAAAGGAAATCACTGACATCATTACTGATTTAGTCTGATTTACCTTAGATTTGAAATAGGTCATGCATTGCTTTGAAATATTAGAAAGTGCAGAAAATGCTTCACAGTAATTTCTCTTATTTAGTGACTATTTTTGTAGGCAAAGTTACATCCATTTTATACAAACAAGCATGAGGTGAATGACATTATATTGAAGGATTCTGAGACACTCCTGTTTTTTTTCTGAATAGTGTCATTGGATCTTTAACATCCATCTGCAATACAGAACTGGTCAATAATTTCATCCAAAGGACGGCATCTATGACCATATAATGTTGTCTCAAGGAATGCAATGGTGTCAGCCTGAACGAACAGCTATGTGAGCTAAGCAAGAGTACATTGTGGAAGGCACAAAGGTGTCTATGCCCCTCCCAAGGGCTAAGACAAACCTGGACTATCTTACTGGGAGAGGCTTATCATTCCAATTAGAAAGAAATGTGCTGGAGATCCGATTGCCCTCAAGCCTTCCATTATCCTTTTGGATCCAGCAGCTCATACTGTTTCTTCCCACTGGATCAAAATCCCTAATCGTCCCTCTCCCACATTGGCTG